TAGAGAATACTATGTGCGTCGTAGCCTTACTATTGGTTTTTGTTGGTCTCGTAGGGTCTCGTAGGGTCTCATATCTCATAGGTGCGCACTTAGATAGGATAGATAAGTCAGGTATATGTACGTAAGAGCAGTGAACGAGGAGGTAATTGAACGTTGGCCGAACCCTAGGAGGACTTCGCCCAGCCCGATTTGCTTCCTCTTCTCCCACCTGTCCTGCCTTGTCCCAGACCCCCCTAGTCTTCCGGTTTTGGGGATACTACGTAGCAGGGTCAACGCGATCGTCAATGCTTTTGTGTGTCATATTCTAGAAGAATACCGTAGAATACCGTCCACCTATGAATGGTGATAATCATGACAATCATGAAGAATCGTGGTGTTTCTAGATAAATGAAAACAGTTGCGATAGGTTAAAAGGTTAAGATGGGTACGTAGGTACTAGTTAACCTACCTACATGTATGTTAGGTACTTAGTCTATGTACCTATAGTACTGTACAGTGTACCCGTAGAAGATTTTCTTAGTCAAAAGTTCCACCATAAGGTTAAAGGGGCCACCCATCGAAAGATCCCAGTCATTCGCCATACATCAGGTACCTTGATCACCCCCAAGGGTGGGTACCAGTACTTGTCTCCCTTTTTCCCTTTAATCTTCCTTCTGTCTCCCACCCGCCTTCTGTTTCTAGTTTCTAAGTGTTCCATCCTATTTTGTCTACTGTCTTCCCAGTCTACCCTTCATCAACCGTTGAAGATCCTCTATCCGAAAGCTTTCATTCACCCTTGGCATTTTTACAACTTTTACACCATTATCGAAAATTCGCCTCGACTTCATTAATTCTTCCCATTCGCATCGGCATCCTCCTATAGGAGAATACCATAGGAATAGAAAACAGCCTCAATTGCTAATACTATTATATTTATACGACTAATTCCCATCGACACCGGCTCGGCGCCTTTAGTTTTAACTATACCAACTCCATCAACGCCTTTCTTTCAACGACTATTTTGCTGTCGCTGTTACGCCTGGTGGATCTAACTGTTGTGTTTTGGTCCTTCGTTGCGAATCATCTGCGGTCTTCCAGCTCGTCCTTCATTCCACACGGCCTGCCGTACTAGTTCGCTGTAAAACCAAACGACCGTTGCTTGTTGGATTTGTTGCACCATCTTGCTCTAGAAGATCGCTAGAAACTCGGGGACTTGTCGACTTCACCGGATCTACGAATTCGCCCTCGTCTAAGAGTACCGACTTAAGCATAGAGGAGAGGCATGATATTCGCCATGCCCATCAGGATTTGCTAACCTTAAATACGCAATAGTCCATTGCTTCACTTTACGGCTGTATTAATTTGTCGCTGTGGAATCGGAACTCTTTAATAGGAGTAGAGATTACCACATACTTATCTCAACCGCTTCAGACTGCTGAGCCTTTCATATTCAAACGTGGTTTTCAACTTAGATCTAGTGAGATCTAACCTATTTGTTAGACATCGCCTGAGATTTGTGTCGGAGAACAACTTTCTCCCCACTTGAAATATTACCGCCTTCTCATTACGTTATCCGTTCCTTGATTCGCCAATTTGGCTAGAATAAAGACGGCATTCTGGTTAGCCGATTTTGACTCTGGGTATCTTGAAAGTTGCTCGATATCTGCTGTTATCCGTGTAGTGCCTGAACGGGAGCCTACTGATTGGTTAGAAAGAATTGGTCTTTAGGAATACACGGGCTGCCTGCAGATAATGAAGGCCGCTTGAAGATAAGCTAGAGCAAAGTATTTCGTACGTTTTCCATAATCTCGTTACGAAACAATCTTGTCAGACAGGAAAGCTTGCCAATTTGCATGGCGTCAGAGCTCGTTTTGGGTTAAATTCGCTGCAAGAGCTTCTGTTTGCTCAGGGTTACACAGTCAGGCGGATTACCCGATACTTGTTATTCCTTTTACCAGCTTCAAAGGAATAATGGGAAAACCTAGATTACGAGGAAGCTCGCCAGTCTACTTGAACCAATCTCAAACGGAGTTATCACGACCACCGTCAGTCTTCGAGGATTGGGACCAAGAAACTGCAATGGAAACATCACGCCCTACGAGCCTGGCAATACCACGCACAGGTTCGCCCTTCACTAACCCACCAACGTTGTCAGAGATTCTCTCTAATACAGCACCACCGCCATGGACACTAAGTTCTTTCATGGCCTTCTTATCTCAAAATCACTGCCTGGAAACTCTCGAGTTTATAATGGATGCTGAACGGTACATGATTATGTATCATCAGATTGCGCAAGGTCAGGCACCTAATGGACCGGCAACAATATGCTCTCTATGGCGGAAAGTCATCGATGCGTACATAATGCCATGTGCGCCTCGGGAAGTCAACCTTCCAGCAGATGTCCGCGACCGCCTTCTCCAGCTTCCCTGTTGTAAGGCGAACCCGCCCAATCCCTCTGAACTCGACGAAGCAGTTCAGATCGTACGGGAACTAATAAACGATTCTGTTCTTGTACCCTTTCTTGAGTCTGTCGTATCAGCTGCGGTTGAATCGCGGGTCGAGGAAGAGTCTCAGGAATATAGACAAGGGCGTTCGCGTCTTCGAATACCAAGGGACATCGGACATGACGACGAAGCAAGCCAGTCACCTAGGTCATCCTATCTCCCGCATTTTATCATGGGACGTGGTGGAGTTGGTAATCGGTCTACCTCTGCCTCGGTAGAAACAGTGTTTGATTTGGTGACTGATGATAGCAGTCCAAATTCGACTCCTGCAACCGAGCCAATGACACCACCTACAACGCCACCCACCTCAGATCTTGCATTTAATACTTCACCTAATACTCTACAAAAAGCTATTTCGGGAAATAGTTGGAAGAAAATGGGTGCAAAGTTAGGATTGACAAGGAAGAGCAAGTCCGTTCGTCGCACAGGCTCAACATCAGCCAACCAACCCCCATTATGAGGGTTACAGGCCGCGCCATCATCTGATCTCTCCATCGCTGTGAGTAGTAACAGCTCGATACCTACTCTACGAGAGACTGCCAGTATGAATACGCTGTGGGAGGATCCTCACCCCGGCGAGAAATTGGAGATTCCACACGGGGTGTCTGCTGGATTATACAGTTATCCGCAGACCGTCAGTGGAGATGTCACGGGTGGCGTGGCCGTGAAAGCGCGTAGCGCATATCAAAAAGAAGAATCATGTACGGCTGGGCGCAACGTTCGGTGCCGTCAACGTAGCACCAAGCCCAAACCGTTGAAGATTCCTGCGAGGGTCGTTGAAGAGCCGGAGGCAAGAGGCGGACCAGTAATTATGCCTCAGCCGCGCGGGTTCGTGAAACGACCACTTCACCTTCTACGTTCCCCCGAATCCTTCCATAGCTTTAATTATGAAACGGATACCGATACGGAGATGAGTGCGGAGACTGGAACGATCGTTAGTGATGCGGAAACCGATAGAACCGAAGTCACTATCGGCCAGACTTCCCTCAGCGATTTCTCAAATTGCCTAGGCATATCGCAAGGAGAGGACCATTCGGCACTCACCGTTGTCGACCCTGATGCCTATACGCGAGCCAGCACTGTTGACGACACGTACGGTTGGGAAGCAGAACTGGAGCGCAAGATGAAGTGCAGAGTTAGCACGGATTCTGTGTGTCCTTATCGTCATCATAACCAATATCGGAACTCTGATGGCGGTATGCGAAACCTCTTCCAGCGTGTCTTTTCTGTATCATCCGGGAGGAGAGTCAATTCCGGTTTTTAGAACTACGTTATACCACTAAGTTGGTACTATTGAATCATGTGAGACGGATTAATGAGTTGATCTATTTTGTCGTTTCGAGCAGGGCGATTTACAAAATTTTCTTACCATGTTCATCATTGGCGGTTTGAAATGCATCTGGTTTTATCATTTTCGGCGTTATCATCCGGACGGCCAGGCAACTGGGTCCTACGGCGGCAAGCATCAAAATAAATCGGGTTAAATATGGCATAGAATGGGAAATTAACAGGGTTTGGCGAGGCGTTCAAATGGGGTTTTTGGATATCACGACTTTTGCTAGATGTAACGAATTTCCGCTCAACGTTATTGTTGTTCTTTTTTGGATTGGTTGAAGGCGAGCGAGTAAGCAAGCAAACAAGCAGCATCGTCTGCAAAGACATTGGCTCTAACTTTACACTACACCTGCATTGTATAGAGCGGGGAATTATTGGGCAAGACAAGACAAGCAGAGACAAACGAGAGAGTTTGTGTGCTGATATATCTTCATGTCGATATATCGTAATCCTCGGGTTGTTACTAGTAGAGGAGCCGAATGAATATAGTATGAAAGTCCATGTAACTATATGAAACCGGCTACAAATTATTATTATGATGTGATCTTGTGGTTATGTTACTACTACGCATGACTTGAATGAATTCATGCAACTATGCACTTATAGTTCTTGACTCATGTGTTTCCACTCCGTCTCATCTTCTAAGCTTTGACTTAATGTTCATCCAATGAAATGTTGTCATCTGAAGGGATTGACCACTCAAAACCGTTAATTGAAACTAGTCATTCTTAGGTATCTAACGTATCAGATTGTAGTACTTTTATGAGCTCTTGTCAATAGGTCTAATAAGTTGCCTCCTACCAAATGACTAACCTGATTAATTAAGAGTGTAAACAAGATGGTAAACCGCTAATAGTCAACATGTCATATAGTAGTCATAGTAGAATAGGTAGTTAATACCCCAGGTAAAAATTCACGATTCATAGTCTTTCCTATTTGCTATCGACTATCAAATCCATTACAGCTGCACGTCGATGGAGAATACATCGCCTTCAGCAGCGACGCTTTTGAATACATGACGAAATGCTCCTCCTTAACCCAAGGGAAAAACAAAACACACGCCAGAATTGCTCCATCCAGCCGTCTATACCTCGAATTACGGGTTCCTTTATATAAACCCATTTCCCATCTCTTTTAGGTCTCCAGATAAATCTCCCTTTCTTTCGCTCTAATCCGTCTTAATTACTCTTCTACAACGGGGGGCTTGTTGTGTCTCGAGTACATCTTGTATTCGAGCGAGGAGCTAAAGTCGAGCTTGCCCTTCTCAACCTGGGCCCTGGTTACGGTAAGCATCGGCCCGGGCAGGCCCATTGACTGCAAGAATTCTACGGCTAGAGTAGGATATCAATTAGTATTTTTCTTTATAAAATGGAAATAAATTGCGCAGGTTACTCACTGTCTTTCCATTCTTGCTCCTGTCTCTTTCGGTCCCACTTCAGTTCTTGGCTCATGATATCGATGATCTTGGGCAAGCACTCAAGCGCAGCCTGGGCGTTCAGGAAGGCCAGTCTCGTTCTTCGTGCGAGGATATCAACGGCAGTCTGCGCATACTCGTTGGTGATAGCATATCTGATTTCGCCATCTACAAACGGGTAGAGACGAGCTATCCGCTCTCCTCTTGCGGGGAATCGGAGGTCTGTCGGCTTGCACATGGCCGCAACAGTCCATGCTCTGTCACCGTAGCTCTCGGTCAAGTGCTTAGCGACCTCGGTCTCGACGCCAAAGTGTTGAATCAAATTGATGAATAAGGTCTTACTGAAACCATGGGCACCAACTAACCGGACGTTGTGAGTCTGGCATGATCCGTCTAGAATTGCACCGTCGTCTATAGCTTCGGTGCCGCTTACTCGTGGGGCATTAGGGAAGGGTTTAGTAGGAAGGTTAAATTCCTTGACTGCTGCATCCACACAATCCTCAGCCATTTGTCGGTAGGTCGTCCACTTTCCGCCTGCACATGTCACGAGGCCGGAGCTGGAGATATCAACAAGGTGGTTGCGTACCAGCGATTGAGTGTTCTGGGCCTTGGGGTCTTTGACTAGAGGACGAATGCCAGACCAAGCTGCAAGCACATCGCCACGGCGAACATGGATATCCGGAGAAAGATAATGGCTAACTTCGTTCAAAATCCACTGAATCGACTTCTCGTCGGGGAGGGGATTTGGAGAGATAGTTGTAGGCTCATCAGTCGTGCCAGCAATGGTATTTCCTTGCCACGGGAGGAAGAAGATAACTCGGCCGTCTGACGTTGATGGATCGATTAATCCCATGTTTGAAGGACTATAGTAACCGGGTAAGATGACGTGGACACCCGAAGCAGGCGCAACGATTTCCGCACAATCCTGGTCGTCAAGTTTCCGGATAGAGTCGGTAAATGGACCGGTACAGTTCACGATACATTTAGCCTTGACGGTAAATGGATCAGACTTCTTACCATTGCGCTCACTGATCACGTCCTTCACCAGAGCACCGTTTAGCTTGCCGTTCTCATTTTTCGTCAGCCCAGTCACCTCAGCATGATTAAGCACGGTAGCTCCGTATACCGCTGCGGTCATGGCAATAGAGACGTTCATTCTTGAGTCGTTGTGCGCGCCGTCATAGTATACCAAAGCACCAACAAGATCAGTCTGCTTCAGCATGGGAAACGCGTCTAGAGCCTTACTCCTGGTTAAAAAGTAAGAGCTCTCGATACCTTCGCTACCAGCAAGGAAATCGTAGAACTTGGTACCAGCCCAATAGTATGGTGCCTTCCACCACTTGTCCAAAGGAAGCATAATAGGCAGCCACGAACTCAGATGAGGAGCTGTCTGCAAGAAATACTTGCGTTCCTTGAGGGCCTCCTTGACTAATTGGTACTGACTGTAATCCAAATTCCATACAGCTTTTTCCAGATATCTCACACCACCATGTACAAGCTTGGTACTTTTACTACTGGTACCACTGCTGAAGTCGTCTCTCTCGACGACTGCTACTTTGAGGCCTCTAGTAACAGCATCTAATGCAACACCTGCCCCGGTGGCTCCGCCGCCAATAACAAGCATATCATACTCCTCCTCTTCTCCGGTGCTCTTTTTTAGGTCGGCTATCTGCTCCTCACGGGATTTCACTTTCGGAAATCGAGGGAGCTTAAATGTGCCATCGGCGCCGTAGATGGGAGGAGGGACCGCAGGGCCTTCGAAGCCTGGAATATTCCGGGGTCGATATGTGTACAGAAGCGCACCACCACCAACCGCAGCGATTGTGGTGGGAAGCGCAATGCGCTTCAAACCTCTGGCAAATCTAGACATAATGAAAGAGTTTGACTGGTATTAAGAGTTAGGTGTTATCCCGTTCAGACTGTGCCTACTTGAAGACACGAAACTGCGTTCAAGTGCAAAACTCGAACACAGTAGCTAGACAAACAAGCCGAATATTCTCCTAGCTCGAGCGTGATGCAAGGGGTAGTATAAAGCGAGACAGAAGACGGGTCTCTTAATTAGCGACCGGCTGGCGGCAAAATTGACGCCAAGTCAGGTCAAATTGCCTTTGAGGCTCGAATTACTTAGGCTAGATGTTGTAAAGAAGAACAATTAGAGAAATTTCCCTCACTCTGAAGTGGAAGTGGAAGTGGAAGTGACGAAGTTGAATTGTGTTGGTACAAGCGTGGGGGTGACCACGCGGTCAGGCACTTCTCCTTTCGGTGGAGAAGTAAATGGGGAAGAATGGAGACAACTACGTGTAGAAGTTGATATCAACATTGTATTCGTACCTGATACAAAGCTATGCCGAGAGAAAAAAAATACAATGGAAAAGGGCTTGCTTTTAGTTCGTGGTATTAGCTTGTGATGGGTTGGTTGAGAATTGGGTCTGCAGCTCCCTTCCCGGAGCGAAAAAAGTGAGCAGTAAGCCCCATACTTCTTCCCATAAACGTGCATTTTAATACCCCACAAGCCCCATAATTAGGGATGCGGCAACGGGAACACGGTTGGGCTCGGTACAATGTCTGAATATAAAAGGCTCACTAAAAAAAATGTTCACTGTGTTGCACAGCATTGAATGTTAACCCAAGGTTATGCACTTATTGAGATGGTTCGATTGAGCGGGGGAGAAACAGGGGAGAGTTTCTTAAGATTCCTTTTAGATACTTAGGGTCGGCAATAGATGTTCCATCAATTATATACGAATCATAGATATGTAGTATCACCTTTGTAAATACCATTACACAAAGGAAGGGCTTTGTCTCGGAACTTATACTTGGATGATTTCAACTAGAAATTATATTTACTACATATTTATTCCTCCTCAGTAATTACATATGTATAACTAAATAGGGGTGATCCATACAAGGCAGCTTCTTTTCTCCACGTGCGCGCGTCTCTTCATACTTGACTGACGTATGTATTCAAGGTAGCAATATCCTTCCAAGTTATGCAACCAAATTTCAACCAATCCAATAAATCGCTAGCTTCTTTCTTATCGTCATTGCGGCCTCGGGGTAATAGTACCGAGTACCTTAGAGTCGGACTAAAATATTTAGTACATGTGATTAGTGAATTTTTTTTAGTACGACGTCAGCAACTATTATTTCGTTATACCTACAAATGAGAAAATACCTATTAAAGTCCATCACACAAATAACACATCAACAAATCAACAAATGTAATCGTTTCGTTGACTTTCTCGCACTCGGCCAGAGACGTCCTAAAGTCAGAGGCTGCTCCGGCTTTAACCATCGTCACGCTATCTGCGCTGATAGAAGATTTCGACGGGGCAAACGCACCGCCACCACTAACATCGTCGATCTGTATTATATCTACCTGGATCTCCTGTGACACCATGATACCTCCGAAAGAGGAGGAGGATTGCTGCACCACCGCTTTGTCAGATATCGTATCATTCCACGACTTATGGCGACCGGGGAAATCCTGACTGCATCGCTTCACCGTAGAACTGCAAACATCTGATTCATAATTAGAAGATCTTTGCATCAATTCCGTCGGTGTTGAGCAGCTATCTTCAAATATGGCATAGTCATTGGGTTTCGACCGTCTAAAACGACGCAACAAACTCAAGCGATTCCGCCAGAATATGGCTCGCCCGGCTCGTTGGTATATTGCAGGTGGCTTATTGATCGGCACTGCATTTACGGTCGGGGAAAGTTCCCGATGCACGTGCCTTGTAAATGCGGCAAGATGAGGCGAATTCTTATATGCCATCTGATGAATCTTAAAGAAATTTAAGGGTATGAATTCGCATCTAGGGTTACTGGCGCTGGCGTGAATTGGTAACATGATGCAGAGAGCAATCATTGTGCAAGATTCCGAGCTTAACCCGGCTCGAGCTCTGCAGGGTACTTGGACTACCCTAGAAGTCAATACGGCTTCATCGAAAATGGGATCATCTACCCAAGCGCGAAGAGATTGGAGAGCATCAGACAGCTGCGAAGCAAACACACCTCTCGAGGAGAAAGCTTCTTCAGCGCGTTGAGATTTTGGAACAAGACAGGGACATTCATTCTGTTAAGCCGACGAATAACTATACATCAGAGTCAGTTGTGAAATTGCGTGTACGAGGGCAATAAGACAGAACAATATGCATTAGACATTGAGCTTTCGAATAGGGCTAAGTCGGCGATTGACTCAAGACTATTGGAATAGAGAGGTGTTTGATATACGTACTATCCATCTGCCATGACTCCAGGCGTTCAAGCGGCACTGGCATAGTAGGGAGCAAGTTTCGAGCGCCTTTCTTCACAACAATATCGAAACCAAAACTTCCCACGCGAGCCTTGACGCCGAAGAAGCCGATATGTACGCCACGGTCCAACACAGCGCTACCTTCGGCCAATACTGCCATGCTTCTTAGCTTCCCCTTGAGGTCCCTACTCTTTATCTTCATGCGGGAACCAATAATCCCGCACACCTGGTGAGGCTCTGCAAACCGGAAGCCAGCGGCCTCCAATCGAACCACTTCATGAGAATGCTCAATGGCGGACCAAGAACATCAACGAGCCATGTCCATATTCTTGGTGTAGCCTAGCCCGAAGGCTATGTGCCCTACTATATGCGCCATAGCCGCCCTTTTCTAGCACGTTGGCAATGCTGTAGTTGAGTTTATGAGGTAGCTCGTCAACCCCGGTAGCTAGAATTTCATCCCACAAGATACCCACGTCGACGAGCTTCTCTTTTAACTTGTTTGCTAAATTTATAGCTGCGACGCAGAATAATTCACGAAATATGGTGTCATAATTCTCGATTAGTTTACCCTCATCGTCAACGAGACGGATCTTAGTATCGCGAGGACCCTTGGGCAAACGCGCCAGGTGTTTAGCCATGCCATCAACCATACCGACTACACTATTCCAATCTCGAGAGACTTGGAACATCCAATGAAAAAGAGGATGAGAAATACCGAATGTGTCGTCTTGGCTCTTTTCCACATAAACGTCTGTAATCTTCTCGCTAGGTAGCAAGCCGTCTGGGCTCACTAATATCCTCCCCGACTTATCGAACACTGCGGCCGCCAAGACAATTTGTTGGGCCTTGCTCGCATTTCTTCTCGTGACGCGTGCTGCGTAAATGATGGATCCTGCCATGAAGAAGGCTGCGGGGATTAACAAACATATGACGATTATGATGGCCTGACTTTGAGAAAGTTGAGGGTTGCCATTCGTATGTTTCAAGCGATAATTTGTACCGACAGCCGCAACCCAGTGCATTCCAGACACGGCACCAGCCAACAAATGTGCAGATAGCACTCTTTTCTGCCATGAATTCTTCCAGGACGCTCTACAGAAAAAGAAAAGTGATAGGGCCATGATACTGTCAACCACAGCGATGACTGCTGCCCCCCCCCGCAATAAACACCTTGTCATATATGCAGTCGTAGTTGGTGATAGAAGCGTTACCTAAATAATGCATCCCGCAAATACTACCACCAGCAAGCACGCTTCCACAACATATTCGCCACCCGGAAACCTTGAAGTTCGCGCCAATGGCTACGAAAGCCACCAGGAGTACAATTACTGGTAAGAGAAGGAGAGTGCGGAGTAGCGGCTAGAATAATTGATACGGAGTTCAGGCTCGCCCTCGCCTAGTATTATTGCATGATTGCCGACAAAATGCTACGGCCAGTTAGGCATCCAGGAATATTTTGAGAGTGAGCCATGAAGTCTTACCATGCACCATATCGATATCCCACCCATAGCCATTGCAGCACTGACAAGTATGAGATGGTTGGATAAGCCATTCCGGGAAGTTCGACGATTGAGTAGCTCGAGTGTTAGGGCCGCTCCAACGCAAGAGACAAGGTAGCTTAGAAACACGAAGCCTCCCCGAAACGATCGAGGGACAATTTCATCTTCATATTGCTGAAGTAGTTCCTCGCCTTCCAACATAGCGGAGACTTTTTCGTATAAGCCGAATCGAGGCCCACGGGAGTGACAGGGGGCTATGAGGCGAGAGGGGAATTAACGATAGTTTACGCTGGAGGTGACAACGTAAGATTGTTGCTCGTGGATGATATTCATAAAGCAGTATCCGCCGGACGGATACCAATATAAGAGACCCAGGCGTTTGATCGTAAACATCTATATGCCTTGCATGTAGGTAGGAATCGATTCAGGAAACAACCCACCTAACACATGTAAAAAGAGACACTGAACGCCAATATGGAGAACGCCGCGCGAGTATGGAGGTGTTAGGACTCAATAGAACGAAGAAACCAAGCTTGACCAGAAGATGCTCCCCTCCATGACATTACCGTTCCAATTAGAGGCAAGTTTGGCGTCGAACACATTATAGAATCCTGCGGACATCAGTGTAGCAACCCTGTTAGTGCGTTCAGAGGACAATTATAGCAACAGGGCGCTGCTTGGCAACTACCAAGATGTCAATTTCAAAAGGGACTGGAGCTTTACAGGAGGTCTCACCATTAGGACAAAACTTGCTTTTTCGAATGTGTAGTAGAAGCAAGCGTAGAACCATAGGAACTAATGGCAATTCCGATACGACGGCACTTAGAAGGAGGCCACAACTTGGCATACACGGCACAATGCCACAATATAGGAGTGGCTAAAATATTTCATAAGCAAGCTCTTATCTTATGTTCGGAGTTGGGCAATTCAAGATGTAGCAGCCTCAAGCTAGCCTACCTATTCTACCAAGTTCGCCGATTACTAACACTAGAAAACGGACTAGGAACCAATGAAAGAATATCAAACAAGAACATGCATAGTCCTACCGGGTTTCATGGATGATGCCTGAGAAAGCGCAACTCATATCATATGTTCCACATATATCATTGTCTATGAAACGAACGACGACGACGACGACGACGACGAGAACCCTGACCTAGGTACATATACAGATCTTGAAGGGTTGGGGGCTGCAGGTTCCTTCCGTTGCATTATCCTAACCCTTACGTACGTTGTGCTACAATATCCCTCTAAAATTTCGCTACCAGGTGTCCGGGAACTTAGTCTTAACGTTCAATTAACCCAGAATTTCATCGTTAGGAGATATCTACTTACTTCTTCTATCTATTTGTTACTTTCTAATGGTTCAACCCATACAGCTAGCCTCAGGCCACACGGCTTTCCTCGTCACATGTTAACACTTTGCCTTGACTAGTCGTTTTTTAGTTCATCGCGAAAAGAAAAAGATGAGTACGCCACAGATGCCGGCGTTTATATTCGGTCGATGCCATTAAGCCATGTTTTCCCTGTGTTGTTCAGCTGTAACATGAGCCAATGAACGAAAGCTACTCTTGGTTTTATCAACGTCATCTAACTTGATACCATGATTCTCCGGACAGTTGCCCTCAAAGCTAGGCCCTGGATTAGCAATCTTTATACTACTTACAAACGGAGACCGGCAACGAGTGGCTTGTCGGTCATCTATCTTGGTGGTTTAACTAGGAGGCTACCCCATCTCACAGAAAGGGATAGGACGGGGCATAGGTTAGGTGGCCTCCTACGGTCATCACACAATTAACGGAGCATAACGACCAGTTACCGTTGGCATTGAAGAAAAAGAAAGTAACCATACCACTAAACAAGCCATAGCTGCCTGTGATAGTAATATTCTAGATCCTGCCTGTCTTGCATTTGCTAACTCTACACTAAATTAATCAGATCAGGGGACCTCATAACTAGCCTAGCTCCATATTGATTTGCTTATATTCGAATAGCTCAGGCCTTCTGACGATAGCGTGGCTTTTAGAGGGACGCCTTCCTGTGGCATTACGCCACGTTCACATTCCAAAATCAGGATTCCAGAGAGTCAGTTTCGCTAGATCGTGTTACAAGATTGACTGAATTTCTACATTGATTACTATCATGACTTAGAGCACAGGGAAAATATGTTCAGGACGACGAGATATTACCTACTACTTAGGTATTTGCACGGGGTTATCCGATGAATTTGACCTGGCCAATTATCATTAAATCCCAGATACTTAGGACTAAAGAACACGCGCCCTTGCTGATAAGAGAATACTCTCCTCAAGATATCTCCAACAATGTGGACATGTCTGTTGTACGAATATGACTCAGACTAGTCTCTAGCTGCACTATTCTATCATTTAATGTCTTATATTTTGCGACAGGTCATCCTATTCACAAGAACCGAAGTTGAGCTGGTCGAGTTCAACACTGAATGAAGGGCCTATGTATACCGAGTACGTAACTTCGGCTAACAGTACCGCCTTGAGAACAAGGCTTAAATACTTCGAATTTGCTTTTCTCGGAATACACTATGTAGGACCACAATAGGGAGAAATCATCACAATGATAAGAGGTAATGCAATATATTCAAGAACCTGTGATGTGGGAAGTTACCGGATCCTAATACATCGACCCTTACCAACAGTTTGGAATTGACTTCGGATATACCCTACAACTGAAATATAAAAGAATATATAACCTGATCTTGAAGATAATGACTCATGTATATGGTGTATTAAATAAACGCTTAGACTAGATGGTTATCGGTATACAATACTCTCACTCGTTAAAAAGTAGTTTTTACTAGGGCAAGTATAAATAACAATACTATTAGTTAAGGGTTAAATAAACATTAGTTATACAATTCACGTGTAACTTCATGTAGTCGTAGCTGTAGCTTTTGTGTAAGCACACCTATAATACAAGTATCACCGTACTCCTTCAGAGCCCCACTACGCTGAAAGTGCAAAGCTTTAACCCCACGTTGCCCCGCATACGTCAGTCTTTGTGATACCGCTGTGATAACTCGATTAGCGCCGACAATAATAATAATTCGTCCAATTTTCAACATCGTCCGTAATTTTTGTGAATCCACGTCGCCGTTCACTTCCATATACCCATTGCAAAATCTTCGATATTAGATTATTATCAATCGGAAAAGGCGATCGCAAGTATTGAGGTTTGAAATTTCTTACCCCGCCGCGATAAGTAGCGAAAAATGGCGCCTCCAGAATCCGCCAATCTGCTGGTGGCCCTGCCCCCCTTCAAACCCGACCTATACCAGCGCGCCTGGCAATCGATACCGCATCCAACCCTTCCCCTCCTAGCCACTGCGCACCAGAAGTCCGTTACCGTCTTTTCACTCTCAACCCTTTCCGCCCACAGCGCTCTAACCAACGGCCACGATCGCTCCGTGCGTTCTACAACCTGGAAGCCTAACCTGTCGCCTCACAAGCTATGTTTGGTGACCGGAAGCTTCGATTCCACAGCAGGATTGTGGCGCTGGAACGACGAGGCGAAGGGCGAATTGGAGGTCGATGTTACAGAGGAAGATAGTGATGATGACAAGAAGGAGAAAGAATGGGACTTGATTGTTATCCTAGACGGCCAGGACTCAGAAGTCAAATCTGTCTCGTTTTCACCCACGGGACAGTTTCTCGCGACGTGTAGCCGGGACAAATCTGTCTGGATATGGGAGGACGTGGGCACGAACGAGGAAGACGACGAGTGGGAAACAGTTGCCGTTCTTAGCGAGCACGAAGGCGATGTCAAAGCTGTAGCCTGGTGTCCGGAGACCAATAGAAGTGGGCGCGGGCGGTATAGCAGCGATGTCTTAGCCAGCGCGAGTTACGATAACACAGTCCGTATATGGCGGGAGGAATCCGAGCGGAGTGGGTGTGTGTTGCGGTGCTCGAGGGCCACGAGGGAACTGTCTGGGGTGTCCAGTGGGAGCCGAAGCCGAGAGGGGAGAAGTTCCCGCGGATTCTAACGTGGAGCGCTGATCGCACGTTGAGGATATGGACGCTCAAGGAGGAGGAAGAGGAAGAAGAGGCGCCACAGCATGCGTGGGGAAGTCTAGGAGGAATACCGAATACCATGCGAAGGGCATTGAAGGAGGAGTGGGAATGTACTGCAGTGCTCCCTACGGCGCATACACGAGATATATACTCCGCATCATGGAGCCCTGAATCCGGTATGGTTGCGAGCACAGGTAGCGATGGCATTATTGCCGTTTACCGCGAGGAGGAAGATATAGCCACGAACGGGGTCCAGGCTACGGATGACGAGGCGGCTGCTGAGTTAGATGGGGATGTCCATATGACGAACGGCCATACGCAAAACAACAAGCCCCAGGAATCCCGAAAATGGAAGCTCATATCGACGACCCCTAACGCTCACGGCGCATACGAGGTCAACCACATCACCTGGTGTAAGCGCTACGATCAAGGATGCGCACCCGAGAAAAGAGGGATCGAAGAGATGTTAGTTTCGACTGGAGACGACGGCATCGTTCGACCGTGGCAGATATTGTAATAATTAACCTAGAGGGTCTTGTTATAATACATCACTCAAACTGTATTTAACGTCCAGGGAATCATGGCCTTGAAAGCCGAGCTTCCCACCATATAGGACGAACCACCGCATCGCTATCCGTTGCTCGGTTTACTTAGGTTAGGGTACATAGACAGGGAAGCCCAATGCGACGAGCAATCTGTCAGAAATCGAAACGCGACAATGATTAGCCACCACTCCCTTAGGAGAATGCGATAAACTTACAAAAACCGTACAGTGATTATTCAAGGGGAAAAAAATAAAGAGAAAAGGGCCTTGGGGCAGACGCCGTCTAAGTTCCGTCCTAATACCTCCGGTCTAATACCCCTGTAACTCCTTATTTTCCCTGCGTCAACACCTCGTGATCCTCGAGGGGACATATAGACAATCAGACAAACCCGCGTATTACATCACCTCATATAAATGTGCCCGGGTACACGTTCAAGTGATACTCGCAGCAGCACAGAATATACCCAACCTTCCGCCAGGCACACCTCGAACACCACTCTGATCCGCGTCGCTGGCCTCGCCCAAGGCCAGTTACCGTTGAGAAGAGACTCCAGCGCTGATCCGCCGGTCGCCTGCAAGCCTTGCAGACCCATGGCGTGGGGCGTCTAGAATTAGGGCGGGCCTGCGACGGTCGTAGGACCGGGCGCGCGCCTGAGTTGCACTGGGCAGTCCTGTCGGCAAACGCCTGCTCCATCACCGCGTACTCCTGTTCCTCCTCTGCTGTCAGAGGTATCTCGCTATAGTGTTTTGGGCCTGGGATATCATGCGGTGGGTATCCGGGCCTCTGCGGGTATGCGTGGACGTCGACGGTTTCGACGACTGGGGGCGAGTGCCGTTTGCTGGTGTTGCGGAGACGGGGGATTCTAACGCCGCTTTCACTGCTGCTACTGGTACCGGCACGGACAGCGACAGGTTCGGGATTTTCACCGCTCTTGCCACTACTACCGGGTTGGCCGTCACTACTGTGTGTTAGTTGTAGCAGGAGTAGTGTGTAGATGAGGCAGATCGTTAAAACTAAACGAAGGCTGCCGGCGTAGTTGGCGCCTCGGTGGCGACTCGGTACGACTTCTACGACTCCTGAGAGTACTCGCGCCGGATTCTTTGTGTTTTAGCAGGGACGAGATGTCTGACGTTGACACGGTACTAGCACCACCGCCATTACTGCGCAACGTCGCTCTGCTGCGCTGCTCGGCAATAGGTGCAAGCTCGGTACCGTGGCCATACAGGAACGGTGTCTCGAAGGCCGCGATCTGCGAGAGCGGAGACTCCGAGTTGGGGTCTATAGGCGTGGGGCACGGCGCCGGCGGAGTGACGGGCCTAGCTACCAATGGAGATGCCGCGCTTGAAGATGGGGTTGAGATTTGGCGAGGAGACTTCGTACTGCCGCTGGATTCAGATACCCAGGTTGCATCGTGGATTGAAGTCTGAGAACTGGGAACACCCTCGGAGGAGTCCTTGTGGTCCCATTTGGGATCAAACGGACGCTGTTCTGGAGTGACTTTGGTAGTGAGGTTTAATCTATTAGAGAGGGGGATCCGGGATTTAGTAGATAAGTGGCGTCTTTTGAAAAGGGTACGCTTAGAAGTGGTGGTAGTGGTATTGTCCATGTTATTTGTTATATGCTAATGTTAGTGTTGATACTTTTGCAATGATTAGTATCAAGATGATGATGATGATGATGGTTGCAAGTAAAATCTACGCCGACTTTCTGAGGGCTAAGAGCAGAGAGCAGAGCACTTCTGAATGATGAGAGATGCTGTGATAGGAAGATGTAGATGTAGTTGGATCGATTCTAAGAATTGTATCTTTTGCTCACGCGACATCAATCGGTACCTCTTGAAGTCATCTGTCATCTGTTGTATCTTTTTAAGGTTGCGCCTGCTATTCCTCGTTATGTCGTCGTGGTTACCATCACCGATTTTTACCCGCTTGGGGGAAGGTGTATAAACTTTAATAAGAGGTAACCATCAAAGGGAAGCCCCTTCTACATAACCTAGTTCTCGGTCTACATCTTAGCAGGGCAGTTAACATCGGTCAATTACTTAAAAGTACCTACCTACTTTCACCGACTATATAAAAAAAAAAAAACTGAAGTCGAATTGCATATTTTTATGGAACCATCTTAATTGTAGAAAATATGTTATTAATCGACGTTTGAAAGACTGGTTGGTATCATACTATAGGTAATTACGGAGGCTAACCCGTTATGAGAGCATGTTTCATGCAATCCCTTTTCCCCATCTAACCCAAATTGAAACGCCCCAATGCCTATGCAATTCCCTCACCGCTCCGTGCTGACCTGGATGCCTTCCGCAGCCAGTGCTCTCTGATAATCGGCTATAGCCTTATCTAGAGATTGTATCGTGGGCTCCATGAGCTTAAGAACCGCTTCTTTACCGCCACGAACAGACTTAGAATTGAACTTGATCTTTCTCTTGGTCTGTTCGTAAATTCGTATAATTTCATCCTTTCTCTTCTTGATTTGCGCTTCTCGTGCCGCCTCGGCCTCTGCCGCAACCGCGTCTATCTCTCTTTAGATCGCTTAAGAGCTTCGGCTAGATATCCAAGCTCGATAGCCCGGTCCGGGTCACCAGATAGGAATGTCGACCAGAACTGATGTAGGAACTCTATGGTAGTAGCATGGGTTAAACTGCAAGAATGTGCGATATCTGCGGGCAATCCCATAGGTGAAGCATCATCCGTGTCATGACCGAATAATTGAGAGCGCCTCTGTCCCATACTCTCGAGGATTTGTTTTTGCGCACTCTTTCGCGATGCTCGTGACCCTACATGAGGAATTCTCCCTCCCTCATCTTCGCTATCACTATCGTCATTGATACCTAACGAAGCGTGAAGATCGACCCCCCCAGCACTATACGTGTTCAGGCTTCTCACATCACCTTGTATATCCTTGAGTACCTCCGATGTGTTCTGCTTCGCATACACCGCTGCAGTTTCGGAGATGGTGGCGGTCTCGTTCGAGGAGAAGAACCTGCTTTGTTCTTTGATGTTTAGAATTATGCGGTTCTCTTCAATATCCCCCCGTAGATCGCGTAGGGCGAGTTCTCGATAACTGTCGTCATCTAATTCTGCCTGCTGAGTAGAGTCATTTTCGAACGATACAACGGTACTCAGTAGCTTTTCGCTGATGCTGTTTAATGTTTGAATGATGGGGACATCTTTTCTTCCCCTTGGTCGCATCTCAACATCTTTCCGGTTACCGCTCCTAAAACCACCCTGGTTCTCTTCGTTACCTTCTATATCAATCATGTGAGGCACATGCTGCGCCAGAAACTTGCTATTGAAGGCCTTGATGTCATCATACTCATCATATTTGTCGAATATTTATCAGGGCTCTAAATCTGTGACGCGTTCTCCCCTTAGTTTTTTCGATAACTTGCTGAGGAAGAACCTCATCCAAAACTTATCCTGCTCTAGGGGCGGCACATTCTCATTGTATATGCGTTTGACGAGAGGGTGCTGACTGAAAATCATCTGCATCTGCTCGACACTGAACTTTAGCTTTAATTCACTGGGTTTATCTGGATCTGTGCTCTGCTGTGCGGTAGGCCGCACTTGGGCCAAGACATTGTAGGGTCCTTTCTTCTGGCTATTCTCAATGGCATGGGACCGGAGCAGATTGATCCTCGCGGTCCAGAATTGTGTGTTAAATGTAGCATCTGATATGGAGTCGGGCTTCATCCTGCGACCTTCCATATACATCTGAGAGAGGTTGCGATCCGCCTTCATAAGTGATTGCTGTAGCGTAATGTCGCTCTTTAAAGCGTCGTCGTCGAATAAAAGCGCTGCTGCTGACTTAGATACGGCAGTATTAGCAAATGTCATAGACGCCGAGCCACTACCCCCAGTAGATGTCGTAGCTGCTCGCGGGACACTGGGGTCATTATTCTTAGTCTCAGCAAGAATTTTGGATAAGAGATCTCTGATAACATTGGCTTCTGCCCTTGGATCTGAGGGAGAGTTGAAATGGAAGAGGTAGGCCACCGGCTCAGCATTTTCCGAGGGTTTATCAAATATCTTGAGCATGACCTTGGCAGCGGTGTCTGGTGTTTGTTGTAGATCTAGGCAAGAAATGATAAGTCACTAAGAATTGTGATTTTTGAGAGAGTACTTACTGGTGATATTTGATATCTTAAGAGATATCGTCGCGTGCACCATCGGTGCAGAGTTCGGGGTCCAGATGACATTTTTCCGGTCCGGGGTGAGGGTGAGTATGCCGTCTTTTTTCTTGTAGGCAGCAGCACCTGTCGGAATTGCCATCGTGCAGGTGTGACAAGATAATGAGGACGACAAAGGAGGACTATTATTTCAAGATGGAAAAACGGTCAACTACAGGATACAGTTGTCTCTAAAGACGCTAATTCGATCCTAACTCGACCTTTTAGATGTGTCGGTTATGGTATCCCTTTTTAGAATTAATTACTTGATAGATACCGAATGAGAAGTGATATAATCAAAAGGTGCCTAAAAGATCGGGATGGTAATACTACGGCGCACTCATACGGCAAGGCTCCTGTACTGGGCGCTCGTTCTTAGGCTACCCCTAAGATCTCTTGAGTATATTACGTTTTTGTTGCTAAAGAAGTAGGTGAGTTGAGATTCCGATGCGATTGACCTTGGGATGAAGAGTTTAAATGTTTGCTATAGACAAAAAGACTGTTTCAATGAAAGGCTGTCTATATGTTAGGTACTTTTGTACCTAATACTCATAATTTGAGGCTGAGGACCCCACATGATAGCGAAAGCCACACCACCTAAGCGTGAAGATAGGTACATTGTACTTAAGTATCCCGGTATAAAGAAGCATTTCAATTGGACATTTTATTTCAAGATGTACAGCTCAGTAACCAAGATGCCAAGGGTTACTAGCTTCTATGACGACGTGTCGAAACGACTTCAATTATTGGCACCGAAGCATCGAAACAATTATGGAAACAAATATCTGTACTATATAGTATGTATGAGCGGTGTCTTTACCGCATCTTTATGACTCCTACAGTTTTACGGGTCAACGGGATCTAGTGTTAAGTGTTTAATGATTTTGATAGTTTCATATCGCCTAAGCATCAACTCCAATCAACGTGGAATGCGCTCATTACCTTGTAAGTAGGTATGTACTTGAGGTTCATTTAGGAGGTATCTTCTATTAATGAACCTAGCTAGGTACCTAGTACATGCTGTAACCTCCAAGCTAAACTGAGCCAACTGCCGTCTCGTCCTGTGACACACATTGCGTGGATTAATCAGCGCCTTGATAGCAAGCCTTGTGGACGGGATGTTGCTGTGTGATTGTTCTATAAAAATAAGTGTGATATCGTATAAATACAAACTAAGTTATTTGAGCGATTAAAAAAGCCTCGATTGTAGAATCTATGTTAAGTGTTAAAAAGGTCTACCATAGCCTCGGTGGTTTTAATGATTTTTTTTTACGGCAAGAATCGGGCCTTTCTACCGAATTAAAACGTCAGGATTCAAGTGGCCGCCCTAAACCAGCCTAACCCAACTGTGTTCCAGAAGCCGAATTTAGCCTGTAAATTTAAATTTAATGTTTAACTGCATGTAAACGACAGCCGAACAATACGGTCTAAAAACATTTATAATACTGTTTAATCGTATAATCGGCATTACCGGGTCTTCTTGGCTCTAGATCTGCGACCGGGTGACGACAGGGGCAGGGGCAATCGCAGTCGCTACTATGTACGTTTTTTCATTTTCTCCAAACTTGGGGGAGCATGACCATTCCCAGTCTATCCCAGTTTCTCTCCTCCAGCACCTCAACTCACTAAGGTACTGTTCAAACTAGACTTACTCCGCCGCTCCTTAATCTCTTCTCGAGATAATAGCATCTCGTCCTTTGGTAGGAGTTTAATAAAGTCGTTTTCTAGGGGTTTTACATGCCCGAGTAGACAGCAAGTTTGTCATTTTTTCCTATACGATCCTAATACATTTTATAGCTGTCGAAGCATCAGCCTGGCGCCATGCTGAGTAGCACCTCCGATCTTCGAGCAGCCAGCTTCTTAGAGCTAGCTGCCGTACCTCGAAATGTATCTCCCAATCCTCGAGATGTTTCTCCCTTAGCGCCGCTCGTCGTCCTCTCGCCATCGCCTCCCAGAAGAGGTATTCCTCTACCACGACGTCGGCACCCTCTCCTAATGACAACTTCCTATCCGGCAACACTGCCAACTAATCGATGAGATGTATCTGCAGTGGAAAGAGGATCCGGAGAGCGTCCATGTGTCATGGCAGGTCTACTTTAAAAATATGGAGAGTGGCGACATGCCTATCCAGCAAGCTTTCACCCTCCTCCCACTCTCGTTCCCAATGCGACTGGTGGTGTTGGGCCAGCCGTGGGCGTGGGAGTCGGTCATGGCTCTGACGTTACGAACCATCTGAAAGTACAGCTACTAGTCCGCGCGTACCAGGCTCGTGGCCACCACAAGGCCGATATCGACCCTCTTGGTATTCGCAACGAGCCAAGAGGTTCTTCGAATACTAAGATTAAGGAGTTGTCCCTCGACCACTACCAGTTTACCGAAAAGGATCTCGATAAGGAGTTTACCCTGGGCCCAGGTATCCTCCCGCGCTTCAAGCGAGAAGGCCGAGACAAGATGACCCTCCGCGAGATCATTGCCGCTTGCGAGAATACTACTGCGGGTCCTATGGTGTCGAGTTTATTCATATCCCTGATAGGGCTAAATGCGACTGGCTGAGGGAGCGCGTCGAAGTTCCCCAACCCTTCAAGTATTCCATTGACGAGAAGCGCCGAATTCTCGACCGTTTAATCTGGAGTTCCAGCTTCGAATCCTTCTTAGCTACGAAATATCCCAATGATAAGCGATTCGGTCTGGAGGGTTGCGAGACCCTCGTGCCCGGAATGAAGGCGCTCATTGACCGAAGTGTCGACTACGGTGTTAAGGATATTGTCATCGGAATGCCTCATCGTGGTCGTCTTAATGTGCTCAGCAACGTCGTCCGCAAGCCGAACGAGTCCATCTTCAGCGAATTCGCAGGTACTGCTGGTGCTGAAGATGAAGGATCAGGAGACGTCAAATACCATTTGGGTATGAACTTCGAGCGTCCTACGCCGTCCGGCAAACGAGTTCAGCTTTCTCTTGTGGCCAACCCTTCTCATCTTGAAGCCGAAGATCCAGTCGTTCTAGGAAAAAACCAGAGCTATCCAGCACTACAACAATGATGACGACACATCGAACTGCCATGGGCGTATTACTACACGGTGACGCCGCTTTCGCTGCCCAGGGTATCGTATATGAATGTCTTGGTTTCCACTCCCTCCCGGCCTTCTCAACCGGTGGAACAATCCACTTGGTCGTCAATAACCAAATTGGTTTCACCACTGACCCTCGATTCGCTCGTTCGACCGCGTATTGTACGGATATTGCCAAGGCTATCGATGCGCCCGTCTTCCACGTGAACGCTGACGATGTTGAGGCCGTGAACTTCGTCTGTCAATTGGCTGCGGATTGGCGCGCCGAGTTCCAATCCGACGTCGTTATTGATCTCATCTGCTACCGCAAGCACGGTCACAATGAGACGGACCAGCCCTCCTTCACTCAACCCCTGATGTATAAGCGCATCAGTGCCAAGGACCCTCAAATCAACATTTACGTAGAGAAGTTACTCCAGGACGGTTCTTTCACGAAAGAGGACGTTGAAGAACACAAGCAATGGGTATGGGGTATGTTAGAGGAAAGCTTCGCTGCGTCTAAAGATTATCAGCCAACATCCAAGGAGTGGACTACATCTGCCTGGAACGGCTTCAAGTCCCCCAAGGAGTTGGCGACTGAGGTTCTACCACACATGTCGACCAGTGTCGACCAGAAGACTCTGGAGCACATTGGTGAGGTCATTGGCTCTACTCCTGAGGACTTCCATGTCCATCGCAACCTAAAGCGTATCCTACAAAACCGCACTAAGTCGGTACTCGAGGGTCAGAACATTGACTGGTCGACCGCCGAAGCTCTCGCCTTCGGTTCGCTCGTCACTGAGGGCAATCACGTTCGTATTTCCGGCCAAGATGTAGAGAGAGGTACCTTCTCGCAACGGCATTCCGTCTTCCACGACCAAGAAACTGAGAACACATACACACCCCTGCAGCACGTCAGCAAGGACCAAGGCAAATTCGTTATCTCTAACTCGTCCTTGAGTGAGTATGGTGCTTTAGGTTTCGAATATGGTTACTCGCTGTCGTCGCCAAATGCATTGGTTATGTGGGAGGCACAATTCGGTGACTTTGCCAACAACGCGCAATGTATCATTGACCAGTTTATCGCCTCTGGCGAAGTGAAGTGGATGCAGCGAACCGGTCTGGTCATGTCTCTCCCCCACGGTTATGACGGACAAGGCCCCGAGCATTCTTCTGGCCGTATGGAACGATATCTGCAACTCTGCAACGAAGACCCTCGCGTATACCCGTCTCAGGAAAAGCTCGAGCGCCAGCACCAGGATTGTAACATGCAGATTGCGTACATGACTACGCCTGCTAACCTGTTCCATATTCTTCGCCGACAGATGCACCGACAATTCCGAAAGCGTAAGTTATTCATACGAGATCTACTATGTTGTATATGATTGCTAACTGTTATAGCCCTAATCATCTTCTTCTCCAAGTCGCTACTACGACACCCTCTAGCCCGTTCCAACATCGAGGAATTTACTGGACCTGATGCTCATTTCAAATGGATTATTCCCGACCCGGAGCACGAAGCTGGTAGCATCAAGTCTCCCGAAGAAATCGAACGAGTCATCCTCTGCACTGGTCAGGTGTGGGCGGCGCTTCACAAATACCGCGCCGACAACAAGATCGACAATGTTGCACTCACTCGAATTGAGCAGCTCAACCCCTTCCCGTGGGAGCAGCTTAAGGAGAACTTAGATACGTACAAGAATGCCAAGACCATTGTCTGGGCTCAGGAAGAGCCCCTCAATGCTGGTGCATGGAGCTTTACTCAACCGCGTATCGAAACACTCCTAAACGAAACTCAATTCCACGACCGCAAGCATGTTATGTACGCCGGCCGAAACCCTTCAGCGTCGGTTGCCACTGGTCTAAAGGCTGCTCACAAGAAGGAAGAAGAGGAGTTACTAGAGATGGCGTTCACAGTGACGCAGGATAAGCTAAAGGGCGAGTAGATGGAAAGGAAACCAAAAAGGTAAAGCATTGACATGAGGACGGGGCGAGCATTGTTATTTTCATGTTTTTTTATTTTGTGTATAAGGCGGCCTCGGGGACCATAATCGAGGCTACATAGACGGGCGGTTGCTAATGGGGTTTCCAACTACCGTAATGAATGATTTTGAACCTTCAAACCATGTGTCTGTTGTGTGATTTTTACCCGACGCCGAGCGTAGAAACTGCATATGCAGACTATCTATTCCCCGTGCGGAGAATGAGCATCTATCGGACCGGGATGTTCGAGAGAGGTCATTGCTTTGCCGAGTATCATACCCAAAGAGAGCTGGGGTAATGATAAGCACCTTGTTTCTCAACTCTGATTTGCCAATGATGGCAACTTGCTTTATCTTCGATATCACACATGTCAGCTCTGTGACGAAATTCCGTTAGTACCAACAGATAAATTCTGCAATGATACCAACCACCATGTCTTGGAACGAGATTCGGATGGTTGCTTTTGTAAGATTTAGATATATGATACGGTCTCCGCGAACGTAGATGGTCGCACAAACAGCTTTCAAGGTAAGACTTAAAAGACAAAAGGTGTCTACTTCGTATACGTCACCATAGGACCTAATGGGATAGTATCAATTGAAGCAACAAATCCCTCTTGTGATCATAGTAATGGATTCGTTCACCTTTCGACAGCGGGGCCATGCTATTAAGGAAAAGACTCGAACTCGACTGACGGATTGGGATAGTTGGAAATTGCCTAAGCAGAGTAGCAGTATTGCCCCGGCTCATATATGGACAAATGCTGGTACGTCTATCTTCATTCCGTACTATTTATATGGCCACTAACCCGTATAATAGACCAAGACCCGGTCCCGGAAGAGAAACAGACCTGGACTAAGTGGGCGTTCATTGGATATTGGTACTCTGACTTGGTGACTGTGTCGACATGGACTGCGGCCAGCGCTATAATGACGACTGGCTTGACGGCTACTGACGCTGTTCTTATTGTTCTTGTTGCAGCTATAGTATGTATATTCCGGAGCTATTCTCTTAAACCCCTTATACCCCGTTATCTTATTCAAGACTGCAAGCTCTCAGAAGACTCACTCAACACCATATCAATATACATCGTGCTTATTAATGTTACCGTAGTGCAATGCGATCCCGACAGTCCTTAACGGTGCCATCGGCGCTGACTTACACATTCCGTTCCCTATCGCCTGTCGAGCTAGCTATGGCTACTGGCTAAGTTACTTCTGCGTTGTGACGAGAGCCATCCTAGCACTCTTCTGGTTCGGCGTTCAGAGCGCCAACGGGGGGACCTGCGTGACGGCCATCATCACCGCCATCTGGCCAAGTTACGCGAGACTCCCTAACAGACTACCCAAGTCGGCGGGTACCACGAGCCAGGGGCTACTGAGTTACTTCATATACTGGTGTATCCAGTTCCCCTTACTCATGATCCCGTCGCATAGGCTGCAGCATTTGTTCTGGATCAAGACGGTATTAGTCACGCCGATGGCACTGGCGATGGTTATCTGGATCACGGTAGTAGCCGGTGGACAAGGCGATTTCTTCTACGCACCAGCCACGGTGTCCGGGTCTACTCGAGCATGGCTATGGCTATCGAATCTAGTACGTACCTACCCAAAACAACCATAACCTCAAATATTCATACATCTCATCCCGCTAACCACCCCCAGACCAGCGTAACAGGCGGCTACTCCACCCTCGCCGTAAACATCCCCGACTTCTCGCGCTTCAGCAAGACGCGCGGCGCCCAGCTCTGGCAACTCCCCTTCATCCCCATCTTCAAAACGCTCGTCGGCGTCTTCGGCATCATCTCGGCCAGTGCCTCGAAAAAAGTATACGGGACCGTGTACTGGTCCCCGCTGGAGATCATCGGCCAGTGGCAAGGCTCGCCCGGCGGGAGAGCAGCAGCGTTCTTTGCCGCGGCGATCTGGCTGCTCGCGCAGGTTTCGGTGAATATCAGCGCGAACGGCATCTCCTTCGCTAACGACGTCACGTCTCTCGCGCCGAAGTGGTTTAACATCCGCCGCGGCGTGGTGCTCGTCTCGCTGCTGGGCGGCTGGGCTTTGTGTCCGTGGATTATCATATCATCGGCTGCCGCGTTTTTGAACTTCATGAGCGCGTATGCGATTTTCATGGCGCCGATTGCGGGTGTCCTGGTCTGTGATTATTGGGTTGTTAAGAAGCGCCGGTATGACGTCCCGGCTCTGTATGATCCCGATGGGATTTATCGGTACAAATGGGGTGTGAACTGGCGCGCTCTGGTCCCGACGCTGGTTGTTATTGTCCCGCTTCTTCCGCCTTTGGCGAAGAAGGTTACGCCGCAGAATGTGGACATTAGTCAGGGGCTCGTGAACTTGTTTACGTTTAACTGGTTGTATGGGTTCTTCGTGTCGGTGGCTATGTACTACGCTTTGAATTACTTCTTCCCGGACGAGAATACGTTGATACCGAATATGGTTCCTGGAGTTGTTCCGGTTCTGCGCGCGGTTGACGCGGATGTAGAAAGTGGTTCGGCTCAGGATGAGAAGATGAGGGGGGAGGGTGAAAGCAGCAGGCCTAGGTCTACTTCAGTCGAGGGTTAAGGAATGATATTACTGTGTGTGTATTGTCTTGTTATGAATATAGGGGATATCGAAGAATAGTTGGGTATATCTTAGAAAATATCTAGAAGCTAAAAAAAACCCTAATATTAACCCACGTCTATAGTAACGGATTTATGAAGTTATTTTCCTATCCTCCAAATGGTGCCAATTTAGTAGTAATTAAATTATGCCAAATACCCAGATCTCCCTACCACAGCCAATATAGAGCCACGATGCACTCTAACCACTATAGCAGGCTTCTTCGCGGCGTCCGCCTCACAACGTCCTTCCACCCGCGAGCATCCCCGGGGGCAGGGATACTTAGGATCATTTTGCCACGCGAATAATGGATCCGTCTCGTTCGTCAGGACATCAGCGATCAGAGCACTTGAACTCGGTAGTCCTGACGATCGCTGGAATACCTCCGCGGACGGGATCTGGATCTGGTCCCAACCACGCTCCACGAGCGTGTCGATCGATGTACCGTACACGTACTCCCTGAACCCGGCGAATCGCACCGCAGATGCGCACATCGGGCAGCTCTCGGCGTTGGTGTATAGCGATAAGTCTGCGAAGGCGGCGAGTGCCTCTTTGGGTGATAGTTTGTAAGGGCCTGGGGTCCGTTAAGATCTGTGTGCAATTGTTTATAGCTGCAATTTCTCCTGTAGTCGTAATTGTGAGCCTTGTTACACCAAGAAAGAATATATATATAATTCATATATACGTACCATGAAGTGTCGGGTTTCCAGTGGCGCTCCTACTGTTGGCGCCTGTGCAGACTAGCTCCCCCAGCCCCGAATTGGCCGTGTGGTTCACGATTACGGTTCCGAATGGAGCTTTGGGACAAGGGTGGGAGAGCAAGGTTGGCCTGGCGCATCCAGTAGATTCTCGTACTGACGGGGATGTCATTGGTAGATGTCGGTTCGCTGATGAGTGTCTGCTCGTGGTCTGCTCTCGGGTAAAAATGATAATGCCCTAGGCAGAGCCTTGAGAAACCAGAGTAGACGAAAACAGCTTGGATGATTGATAGTGGCCGCATTGTATCTTATTATTGATAAGTATTGCTAATAGAGGTTAGAATTTGCCTGGTCTATTGGTATCTAGAGGAGCCATAGGATGTTTATATATCTGGGTATGCGTATGTGTACGTACGTGTGTCATGAACATAATTTACACCTAGTCACTAAGTTACCAACTATCTATATCCCAGCAATGATGATATACTAAAGAAGGGAAGATATTGTTATCATTCCCTGTTGTAAGCCATTACACTTTGATCTTCGTTGGAGACCCCCGGCCCATCTCTTGATACCGTATGCGGTGACTCGCATCACCGGCCATTTCCGATAGATAACCCATCCATGTTGTTGATAGAGCATATCAACGACGACAACAGACTATATTAATCATTGTCTCTCCCCTAGACGATTATGTCTCTCAGGACAAATTACATGCCATTATATAAAATAATTAAACTTGTATATAAATTTGAGAAGATTTCATAATGTCGCCAAGCGCTACTATTTCAGAAGCTACCTTCACGATCACGCCGATGAAGAAATCTTCCAACGATAAACATGACTATGGTGCAATTGTCAGTGATATAGACTTGAATAATATCAATGGTAAGCGCCACCACCCCCACCAAGTTATGGATCGGGTATTCAATATAGTCAGATATCGACGTCCGCCACCTGGCAGACGCTATCTGGACCCATAAAGTCATTGTGGTCAAGGGGCAGAAGGGCCTCGCACCAATAAAGCAATGGGATCTGGTAACACGCTTTGACCCCAATGCGCCACAGATTCACTCTCACGGTGATTTGAAGACTTTCAACAGCAAAGGAGGATTGCTTTCTGTAAGTGATTTAAGGCATTTTCTGATATAAGTAGAACAAATCCTAAAAATGATATAAGAAACATCGCGAAACACGAAGTAGTAGGAATACCGGGTGCCGAGAACGTCCGCCTAATTGGAAAAGGCTTCCAAGGTGAGGACCACTACGGCATCAAGAACAAGAACATCACAAAACCGCTCTCCCATGACTGGCATGAAAAAGAACTTCCACAAGACGAGTTCGAGAAAGGGAATACCCGGTTCCAACGATGGCATATGGACGCGCCGCTCTATGGGAGAGACCCGGCGTGGTTTACGACCCTGCGTTGTATAAAGCGGCCTACCGAGCCTCAAGTCAACATCCGATGGGATGACGGGTCCGGCCTCAGCATGAAGGTAGAGCCAGGCCTTACGGCATTTATTAGTAACGTTCAGATGTACGAAATGATGACGGAAGATGAGAAAAAGATGGCAGATCACAGCTGGGTCGAATATGCACCTCATCCGGTGAGTGGATTGTTCTATAGTTATGAATATTTAGACGGCTAGTAATTGCTGACAATAAAATAGTATATGTGGATAGGTGACTGTAAGGGGAATTCCAACGGACTTGGCCTTGTTAGCCAGGGTAAAGAGAAGGAACTTGAGAATCTAGGTGACTTCGACCCGAAGGATATAAAAACTTATCCCAGTACGTATCAAGGACATGCCTAACCCCAAACCCCTTCTCTAAGAATAAAATTATTGATTCTCGGCGCAGTGGTTTGGGTCAACCCCGTAACAGGCGAGAAAGCCTTCCAAGTCCACGGAATTTGCGCAAGGAGGCTATTCATTCGCTCATCCCCGACAGAAGAACCCAGGATAGTCGAAGACCTCGTAGAAATTAGGAAATTACTGAAGATTATCCAGGAAAGAGTGCTAAAGCCAGAATATATCTTGATCCCGAGTTTAGAAGAAGGGGATATTGTCATGTGGGCCAACTATCAGATGTTTCACACGGCAATCGACTATCCTGACTGGTTTGGTCCGCGGACTATGCATCAGGCCAACATCGCCTCGTCGGCTGGTCCGGTGGGCCCGGTCCCAATTCCGGTTTAAACCTGAGGTTTAATGCTTAGATATTTGCAGCAGTTCGCTTGGATGCTTCATATAGGAGCCGCAAAATCACATAGTGGGAGGACTAGCGTCAAAATATACTATATCTACAGTACCTAGGCATCTGTTTTAATATATGATGGCCCGCCGCCAGATTTAAGAGCGCGGCTTCATTTGAGTAAAATGGTCGCTCAAACTATGATATCGGCTTTATAAATTCCATGATACCTACTCAAGCTTGTGGCCGTTATCCCCCTTTACGTACCTACCGCCAAGTAACTTGAGTCAAGGGATATTTCGACATTTTCGATAGTCGTTTAGGTAGCGTGTCAAATGGGTACGTAAATCATTTATAAGATTGGCTAGTTCCTTAGTCAAGTGCTTTCTGGGCGAGTTCGTCTGCTAAACGCTTGATGTAAAAGTCCCGCATATCAGACGGTAGCTTACCGAAGCTGTTTGCGATGCGTGTAAGATCTTGACGGCCCTTTTCGTACTGTAGCGTTGATAGTTAGTGGTGGTTACGTGTAAAACAGCCTAGCTAATGGGAATGAATGGCAGTGTAACCGGATAAGAATTTAGAACTTACAGCCGCAAGATCCCGGTTTCCATACACATCCCTTCCACTCGAGTAACCGTTTTCAAGGTTACGGAAGAAGACGTTAACAGCGACCCCTAAATTACTCAATGGAGTTGCAGTATGCAGCCAAAGAGGTGGGAGGAACAGTATATCGCCAGGCTTCAGTACAGCCTCGTGAGGATGTGTTTCGGCAAGAGAAGATGATTCAAGTTCAGAAAATACATCTATACTCGAGCTAGATGAACCTGGAGCAAACGAGAGCTTGGTAACATCTGTCGGCGGGAATAAGATGAATCTTTTGGAGCCCACTATTTGGCAATATACGTTCGCCATAACCTGATATAATGTCAGCCAGTTATACTAAAAGCTAGACTCGCGATTCTGCTTACGTCGTAATGAAGCCACATATTAACTGGCCCAGTGATCCGCAACACGGAACTAAATTCGTTCTGTTTTACAAATGAGAGCGCATTGGGAAGTTGGAAATCCTCGGCTAGTTGCGGGAAGTCGATTTTGATATTAGCCGGCTGATCAGATGGGTGATCTCCTGAAAGGGCACGTAGATATAGCTTTTGACCATCTGAGATTCCCTGCATGATGTCTCCAAATTTCTTCGTGACATACGTAAAATTCTTACTGTTAAAATCCATCTTCTGGCTATCGGCTTCATGAACAACAACCTAGTGACATGATTAGATTGGGTCATATATGGAACCTGTGATAATCATTACCTCTCTACCAGGACCGAGTTGTTTCACGATATAGTCTGATGTCCAGGTCTGGGTACAATTTCCTAATTGGCTTGCCTCGAAAACCACAGGTTTCCCAGCCTTTAGCACTGCCGAAAATTCATCTGCTGTGTTGATCTGAAGCCTAGGTATGTCGACCTTCTCCACAGCCTCCCCGTTTGAAGAAGTCGAGGCATGATTCCGTTCTACCTCTTCCGTAAGTTCGACAATTCTTGAGTGTTTCCATATTCCCCTATTACTGTGTAGTGTCGGAACCCCCTTAGTAAAAGCCTTAGGGGTGTATCTTAGTGTATAACATCCCGGATTCCAGAATGTTCCCATGGAGAAACATGTAGCACCTCCGCCCATTACAACCAATTGGCCGTCACTATCTTGCTCGATTGAAACCCCTATAAGTAATGGCCTAGGATTACTGCGATCTGGCAAGCGGAAACGATTTATAATGCAGGCCGGAGATATCTATAATCAGGACGTCAAGATCTCGAGTGACTATGTCATTTGCGACGATGCCCCCAATTATAGTCAGATATCCTTCCGGAGAAATAAAGCCAGAGGCACCGTAGCGGTTGATTAGATCATCGGGATTATTGACTTTACGCATCTCCAGTGTCGGCGAATTAAGAGGATTTGAAGTCGATAAAACTGTAAATGAGATTATAGGCTTGCCATTTTCTGGAAGTACCAAAGCCCATCGCAAAATCTGCTTAGCAATAATGCCATCTCGAGAGATACCACCTGCCATCATACCATCAAATTGGATACCATCGTTTGCCGTGGAATGGGTTGGTCCTCCAAGACTAGCTAACAGGCTGCCAAAAACTGGTTCATATTCTGACCCCTGAATCTCGCACTCAATCCAACCCAAGCCTGGTCGATAGAGGAGGCACCCATTAAAAATGGATGATGCGTCATATTTACCTCCGACTAAAAGAGCGAGCTCTGAATTGCCGAGTCTTGTTATTCCGTGCCGATATAATGGTATTGGGAGGTCATCTACCCGTTGCCATTTATTGCTCCCTTTATGGAGGAGCCAGCAATCTCGTAGAGCGCTTGACGGAGAAGCCCTACCTCCCACCAGGAGGTTTCCGTAATCGCCTAAGTTCGTAATAGTATGGCACATGCGACTACTTGGACCAGTATGATGCGTCTTGACATCTTGTAGAGTCGACTCGCTAGCATAGAGATCATATGATCTTAATCGACTATTCGTCCCAAGTCCGAACGTGTTAGATAATAACTCTTCTCCTAGGTGGTTCTTTAACTTCATCGCAGCCCCAAATCGGCGTTGCCCGCGAGTACCAGAATATTCTCTGAAGTCGGCGTCTAAGGACAATATAGGGGCCTCGAAGCTCTTAAGATCCCTGGAGATGCTGGTAGCCGTTTGAGTTGTTACCGGATTTGTCTTGGCGATAACCACGCAGTAATGAGCAGCAAAAATTGCAAACTCTTCCCATTCATCAAAGGGCTCAATCTCGTCGAGCTTTCTCCTCTCATCTGCCGAAAGCCATTGGTCATCGGCCCATATTTGCCAGAGAGTGTCAACATTGACCTGTGACCAGCCCCTTTTGACGAAGCGATCCCGCTGGGTATTGATATCTGGGTAGTTGAAAACAGATTTCAGAGGAGTTTTCAACTTCTCAAAATGCGCCAGCATCGTCTTTGCAAACGGATTATCCTCGCCGTCTGGAATAATTTGCTCGAGTAGACAGAACTCGGCTGATATTTGTCAGTCCCTAGTAGTAATTCATGTACTAGGATAAATGTATCAGGATAACCTACCTTGCCCAAGAGTGCTAGCCCATTGAATGACTGAATTTGCGCCTTCGGTTTCCATATATGTAATGGAGACCTCTGCCACGAACATGAACTCGCAGCGAGCTATATCAACAACAGTTGAAAGCGCTCGTTCTATATCGGAGATGTTACGAAGGTCACAACCAATCTCGACATACTGATCGCTCTGTAGTACTACATGGTTTCCTACATTCGTTTTCAGCCCAGTTAATGGAGATCTGAGCTCGGGAGTGTCCTGGACGATCCGGCATTTCTTTTCTATCAAGTCAGGAAAATCAATGTCCACGAATTTGGCATTTTGACATTTGTCAGGGTATCTGGTCATACACTGCCATGGGAGCACGTCACTACTAAATATTAGAGACTGCATTGAAGATAACGGTGAGATAGAAACCTACCTTCCACAGCCTAGATTTATGACGACCTTCTTCTTCTCTGAAGGCCTTTCGAGGAATCGACGAACAGCAACGTCAATTACATGTAGTCGAATATAATAGCCTCGATTGATTAACGGAGCTCGCCGCTGGAACTTCTTTACAAAGAAACGAAAGAAGTGAGGCTCGTTTGGATAGTAGATGCGCTCTACACTCCGTTTGGATACGATACTACTGCTGTTTGTCTTGAGGGGCAGATTAGAAAATTAAGATGTTTGTATATATGGTAGAAACAAGACGCACAGCCATAACCAGATCGTCTAGGGCTTGTTGCTTTGTTGAACGGCCCGGGCCTTGTTGGCCATTGACTTTGGTAGTAGTAGCCATCCTAATTAAAGGAGGCACGTGGAAGAGTAATCCTGTATGTATGATTTTGTAGGAGTATGAGTAATGATAGGTTAGTTGAGAGTAAGACGATTTAGGTGAGTAAATCTTATCATATTTTGCCTGTAACTAGTTAATTTATCTTTGGATAAGACCGAGATGTATTTTCCCTTTACGTGTATTTAACATGTTAATATTAAATTTAACGCTCATTTTTATTTTTATAAATATGTCTTTTTCAAATATCTTTTAGTTAATTAGAATTGTCGCATTACCTAATTCAAAGATGAAAATTGTGCTAACTTTTTAACCCTCAAATTCGTCGTAGTTGGAAGGCTCGTCTTATTCGAGCAGTGACGCACCTAAGTCAAGTACCTACCTGACAAGGGCAGGCACTATAAAATGTACCTAGAGGTAGGTACGTGACTTAGTATGCGGTAGTGATCAGCACATGGGTTCATCAGCAGGCACGAGTCTAAAAGACCTAAGCTCCACAGCTACAGCGTAATAGCGCGTTATGTTAACGGTTTAAAAAGGTATATGTAACAATACGTACCCAGTGATTCCCCGCCTGACAATAGCATCTGATTGATGATTTCAGCCTTTCTCCCCCACCCAGAATCTAAATTCCAACCTCCTCGGATTTTTAGCATCTCCAGCTTTCCCCGAGTATTGACGAATCTAGGAAGCTTTAGGTACCTGTTACAACACATCATACACATCTTATCCAGCAGCCCGACTTCTCAGCTCTTTCCCTTACGCCGTCCTGACGAATGAAGCTATTACTCTAGCCTAACTTATTGATTTCCCTTTGTCATGACGGGGAAAGAGATACTCGAACTGAGACGGCTTTGACGCAGAGACCGCCTTTAGATTGGAGTCCTTTAGATTGGAGTCGGACTTACAGGCAAAGCTTCAATATTCATCATATTATAACTTTGGGTCGTTATAATCTAGTACATCTTACACCCAACTATTTAATATAGAGCTGCAATAGTTATTCCTATTTTCAGTCCCGAATCGCCCGTTCTACTTTAGCCATGTCGAACCCGGCTCTCAATTTCGTCACTTTCAACCAAGATCACAGCTGCCTAGCTGTCGGTATGTCGATTCTTGTCTTAACTCTGTCTCTCTCAGTGTAGTATATCGTAAGGGTAATAAGTCCTTAAGAAGCTAATAACTATAGGTACCTCGAGGGGATTTCGTATCTACCACACCGAACCGTTCTCTAAGATTTTTAGTAGCGATGATGGCAACATCGCTATTGTCGAGATGCTATTTTCGACTTCACTCGTCGCTTTCGCTCTCCCCTCGCCATCTTATAGTACAAAATACGAAGCGCGCCTCCGTTATATGCGAACTCACCTTCCCATCTGCAATCCTTGCCGTCCGCCTAAATCGCAAGCGATTAGCTGTTGTGCTCGAGGATGAGATCTATCTCTATGATATAACTACTATGTCACTCCTCACTAATATCGCGACCTCTCCGAATCCTGCCGCTGTCTGCGCATTGTCGCCTTCCCACGAACATTCGTACCTCGCTTACCCTTTGCCGAAACCCCGCGAAGATACACAGGATAAGCGACCTTCGCATGCGCCGCCAGCCTCGCTCTACGCTCCCGTAACGTCCGGAGACGTCCTTATATATGATACGTTGACTATGCGAGCCGTTAATGTAGTCGAGGCACATCGCTCTCCCCTGTCCTGTATTGCGCTCAACAGCGAAGGGACCTTGCTAGCAACAGCTAGTGAGACGGGGACGATCATTAGAGTATTCTCGGTACCCCGTGGAGAGAAGCTTTTCCAATTCCGACGTGGAACATATCCTAGCACGATCTATAGTATGTCTTTCAATATGGCGAGCTCGCTTCTCTGCGTGTCTTCAACTTCAGATACCGTACACATATTCCGACTTCAGCAGCCAGGGCCTAACGGTAACAACCCTGAGGCACAGAGCCCCACCTCTCCTCGGAAAGATCGTTGGTCTCGTAGTCGTAGCTATGATAGTGGGAACGACTCATCTAATAGCGCACAGGGCTCTCCACGTAGTGAGGCCGCTGACGTTCCAACATCGACGGCGAATAACCCCGTGGCGAATAGGAGGAGGCAAAGCGGGTCATTTAGCAGCATGCTGCGCCGTTCATCGCAGATTATGGGTCGCAGCGTAGCTGGCGTTGTCGGAAATTATCTACCACAGACTGTGACGGAGATGTGGGAGCCTCTGCGCGATTTCGCGTATATCAAGATACCAAAGAGCACGTCCACAGCACCACGCCCTGGCGGTAACCAACAATTACGCAGCGTAGTGGCTATGAGTAGTAGCAGCCCACAAGTTATGGTTGTTACCAACGATGGTGGTTTTTATGTCTTTAACATTGATATGGACCAAGGTGGAGAGGGCTACCTTGTGAAACAGTTCTCGTTCGTGTTACCACCTTCTTGTCTCTCTTCTTTATTCGAGTCCTAGCCCAACTAACCATTATACTTCTAGTGTCCTCGATAGCGACGATAAGCTCGATGCCTCTAATTATGGACCGTAGAGCAGTCATGCCGGCACGAGCAATCCTTCCAATTACTTGGACAGCAGAATCAATGAAGAAATAAGGGTAGCAGAGGAGGAGGATGACGATGATGATGATGGGGGACTCGGGGGTGACAATTGGCAGTACGTCACAAAGGGGAATTAGCATTCGGACGGCGTTAAATGGTTATGTAGTCGGGAGCATGGTGTTTTGTTCTCCCTCCTTTTATTAATTCCACAGCTCATCTCTGTACCACCGCGAAAGCCCTACTGTCTGAGAGCGATCATACATCCCAGAGAAGGAGGATTTGTATTTTGTGTGAAGGAGAGCGTCGTGTTTTTGCATTAAGCGTCTGGCGTCCAAGTGGCCTGGGTTCATAGCTACGAAGTTACCGAGTATCATCATTTACTTCTCAATACAGATTACTAATATTCACCGTCGAAGAGAACAAAATGTTATTAATAGTAGCAATTTGTTGAACGTACATGTCAGCATTGAGGTGGAACCAGTCTGGGAGTGGTATTTGTCCACTGTGGCTCAGTCCTAATCCCCTTGACAGTCTTATTATTTGAAGATGATATCCAGTTTCCGTAATCCCTAAACCCTTTGAATTTCCTTCCAGTCCAATCCATCCATACCTCACATACACGTACGTACGTGCGTACTACTTACTACAACAGTGCTACAATAAACGATTCAAACGTAAGTTAATGCTTCACCCCCAATCCAACCCGTCCTTCCATCCGTGAATGATCGAAATAAAAAAACTGTCTCTTCAAAACCCCACGACGCCGCGGCGCCAGTAGATGAACTGACGATGCAACAGGGCCCGGAGTAGGTATGTGGTGCCCCCCTGGTTTTCAGCCCCCTCCCCATATTCTCCCCCTTTGTCTGTATTTGAGAATGCAAAAATAAGTCGTGTCATACCGTCGTTAGAAGTGAAAATCATGTGGTTGCTTCCGCCTGGTCCGCTAACTCCGAAACGAAGCACAATCGTAAGCCAAGAAATAGAAATGTATGGGTACTGCTGTACACTTCGAGAGTCTGATTAGTCGAGTGTGGGCACAGACGATAATGATGAGTCAAACTCATCATCATTCTCGACTCTTCCGCTACTCCTAGTCGTGATTTTGCAGCAAATCACGCAAAGTTTATGACTTCCGAAGCATTGACTGTACCGTACCCTCAATGCTTCGAAATACAATATTTCGATCAGAGCCGGCTCTAAACATCTTATCTCGCATAAGGGCGATTCATCGATGCGATCTCCCGCGCGATCTCGCCCCACTCGAGTTCCCTTCGGATACCTCGCCCGGCATCGTGGACATTTTCAGCCCATTGACGTCTGAGCTGCAACATCTCCTCCCACTTAAGCAGCTCGTACACGAATCTTAGATGAGGCTGAATGATAACATTGAGCCGTCGAGCACGCACAAAGCAGTACGCCCGCGGGAATGAGAGGCTAAGAGACCGCATCACCTCTGCGATGCAGATGGTCGCGCTGCGGGAAACGCCGACGCGGCAGTGGACCAGGGTGGCGGTGCCGTTCCGTCGGCCGCGCTCTGTTTTGCGGTTAGCGAGCGGGTCTTAGACGAGGGGAATAACGTGAAAAAAAAATAATAATAACAAGGACAAGCTATATAATACGCTAAGGGCTACGGGAAAGTGGATAAGCAACGTACCGATGAATTCCAAGCACTTCTCGAACTCCTTGGTTAGAGGGTCGATGCCGTTGTCCTGAACCTTCTCGACCGCGAGCACGTTATCCGCGCCCCAGGACTCAAGGTCGCCGTCCCGCCACATGGCCGTCTCGCCTACGCTGAGGATCTGGTTGATGCCCATGGCCTTTAGTAGGTCCGGGTTGTTGGCGTGGCCGAGGTTGCCTAGGTACATGTAGTCGAGGATGCGGCTGGGGAACGAACCGTCGAGGGAGGCGAGCCACTTAGGCTCGTTGCGCACGAGGTTCGTAACTTCCAGCAGGCTCTTGTCGCTACAGATGGGGGATTCGTGGAGAAGACGGTGCGCGATCGTGGTTAGTAGGGATACGTCGGTCGGATAGGCGAAGAAGTTTCGCTTCATCTTTGTGTGCAAATCCATCCAGGCTTCGTGGACCGGTCGGCCGGTGCTATAGCTGAAGTATGCGATGCCGAGCATGGTGGACTCGGTATACCCATCAGCACAATGTATTAGAATCCTCCGCGAAGGACGCATCTCGACCTCGGTGGTGGAGGATGTATCGGACATGTTCGAATCACCGTCTACATCAGTATCCGACCTCAAAGGTAAAGTTCCGTGCGAGAGGTGCCAGAGCCATTTGCACGTATCCAAGATACCATCAGCTTCAGCGTGGGACCATGTCGGCGGAAGGATACTTCCAGACGAAGGGAAGTCGAGGTAAGGCTGTTTTACCTCATCGTTTGTGCCCTCAGCAATTGCTTGCAGCGCACCAGGGTTTAGTCGACCGAGATCACTGCATTCGATAAGGATATCATAAGATTGTTCCTCTTCTCCTGAAGGCTCGGGTGTTGGGCCCATCCACACATTACGCGATATCTCGGTTGCTTTAGTCATTGAGTACATCTCCAGTCGCTCTTGGTGGAAGAAGTCAACCACTGCACCTGTTAGAAGACCCTCCGAATTAACAGCAACGATCTCGCCATGTTTGTTTTCGAATTCTCTAAACGGACTAACACAAATAAATGTGTTATATTTCGGGATAGACTCGTATTTCTTCCTCCATTTAGCTTGCGCCGACGCGATTTCCCACGCCCACTTACGGACTAGACCAGCATCCTCACCATATACTATGATATCGGACGTTACGGCCGTCTTGGCAGCCTGGATCTGAAAGTTACGAACGGAGAACCCTTCTCTGGGGTCGACTTCGACGAATTCTCCATCGGAGCCCGGTTGCATAAACTCATTAGGTGCAAGTGCCCCTTTTAGGCGTGCAGTGGAGAGATCGCCATCTGCTTTCACCAATGTGATTCCACGTAAACAATTAGGTATCTGCCGTACAGTCTTGCTCCTCGATGCAAAAAAGGTCTGTTGGATATGATTGCTCGGATGCAATCCATGAAACCAAGGGAAGACTAGAGCGGGGTCTGGTAGAGGTTGTCTGGAGAGATAATCCACGGCGGCTGCTACGTCAGCAGGGTGGATCTTGTAGAGGCATAGAGAACCCGATTCCAGTCGTTCGAACTTCTCAGGCGGATACAGTAAAGATGAGCGGCGCCGTTCATTATGTCGTTCAGTCTCGCGCGGCCTGGTGATGGTGGTGGCGTGTTAGGCTCACGAGCGGGTGCTGGGCCGGTGGGACAAACTGGTATGTGTTTGTTAGGGATGGGCGCGGGCGCTGCGCTAGAAACCTGTTGGGCACTGATAGCTTCGAGCGCTATTGGGGCAGATAAGGTAACAATGCCAGATGAAGAACGATGTGGAGGAATTGGTCTGGGGAGAGCGACAGTCGTCATTGTCCTACTCATAGCAATGCCTGTTTTTTTATTTATTTCTATGTTATTTATGATGTAAGTTGATAAGTCTCGGCGGTGGCCGTGTGCCTCATATCAGAATCAGATACACTACCCCTAACGCTCGAGCACCGGGGGTCCAGTGGTGTACCAAGGTGCAAGTAATTGCGGGGGGAGGAGACGGGGGGGTGAGATATGTAGATTGGAGGGGGAAGATGAGGTAGATGGCGGGGGATTTAAAGTTGATGATGGAGTCGGATATTAATTGGCGATAGGTACGATGTACGATGAACAGCTAATACGGACGGGCCTTTTTGTAAGTCCAAAGTTAAAGTGTAAACCGTGTGTTGTCTGAAGTACGTTAGCACCTTGCGTGTAAGTCGTACTTTATTGTAATGTATAAAATATAAAATTCAAAAGTTTGGTATGCGTGTATAATTCCTTTCATTGATGTTGAATGGGCTGATATTGTCGTGTGTTCCCAGGTATCATTATTGTTTAATAATAATAAGAGGGGAAAGAAAGAGAGGGGAGATGGGAAATAGCATAGCAATGAGAACAGGAAGAATAAGACGAAGGGGGGGAAGAGGATGAGGGGACACAATAATACTTACATACCGGTACCTAAAAGCCACTTAGAAGTAAGGATCTAGAAAAAGGGAGAATGAGCCAAAAGGGTATTGTAATGGATTAAATGAATTAAAAGTGTAGAAATTGACAACGTGAGGAGAAAAGATATAGATGTAACTAGATATAATGACCAAAGGTATGGTTAAAGGTTGGTCGTAGGGTATAATCAATATCGTTTCACGCGTCCGGCGACGTTGATTGGAGTTACAGCCTTATCGCACATCCCTGATGATGCATAACAGTGCCGTGCAGTATTCCAACGAGTGAAGCAGCACCAGCGGTAGATAAGACGACTTGATTGATGGATAGGTGAATGGTGCGAGATTGGATCAGATGGGATCATGGGTGTATGTTAGGTAGTTTATCCCCCCCTCTCTACCTCTTTACCTTATTACCTTTTTACCTCTTTACAGGTAGTTACCACTTTTAATCTTCTTTATAAAACAGATCTACCCCATCTATTCCCCTCTCTAATTTGTGTATATACATACATCCAGCTTATTCGTTCGCTCGTTTTCTATCCATTGTGCCCCTCCTACTTCAACCGGTGCAGCTGGACAGGATATTAACAAATTACATCGTTTCGTTTGCTCACGGTTGCCAAGCCAGGACAGCATTATTACTATTAGCCTTGGCCTACACTACCCTATCTACCTTGTCTAGTGCTGTCCTTTGAGGCGAGGTCTTCCCCCCCAAAAGGAACCTAATGTTGATCAATGCCGGGGCGACTGCATACATATGTATATACCCCTGTTCTCACAGATCACGTTCAGACATCCTAACCCAGAAGGCCGCAGAAAAGTGGACAAAGGTTTGAAAATGTGATACACTACATGAACTCGACAAAGAAGAGATATATCTCTTTTTAGATTGTGTCTAGAAGAAATCTGATCTTGGCTTACCTCGGAGTTCCTTCCCCTATATGTAGATAACCATATAGAGTCCGGTATCAGCATTTCATAGGCTAACCCGTATCTAGAGCGCATATATGTGGCTGATGCTTGTTACTATCCAAGCCTCTAGAAACGATAGTATGCGCTTCTTCATAGGTTGTCTTGCCGCCTCAACGGGACATGATGAGTTTCGAGAAAAGCAATAGGGCCACGACGACGTACATATAACGGCAGCGTAGTACCAAACATATATGTATGTGAGCTGCGAAATTGCATGTCCGTCAGTGAAACGAGGGGCAATCCCAACGTTGTCGAAACTGCAACATCAGATACTGAAGGCTTTCGTTGACCAATGAAGGAGAATGAAAAGGACGAGACCCCGCTACGGAGGTGCAGAGGGAACACATTAAAAAAACAACCCAAATTTGTCATTATACCCACCCCCACGTATAACCATATTTTTTCTAATATTCGATAAGTGAATATATGATATACTTAATGAATAAATCGATAAAAATAAACGTAATAAAGTAAAATTTACATATAATTTTTAAATTATTTATATAAATTTTTAAAAAATATAAATGTTTTTATATTATATTTATTTATTTATTAAAATAAAGTTTATTATTTATATTAAATAAATTAAAAAATTAAAATTAAATTATTTTAATACATATTTTAAACTTTGTAAATTTATTCGTTTATTATTTTATGTAATATTTATTAATTATTTATTACTTTTTTATAATTTAAAATAAAATTTATTATTTATATTAATAAATTAAACATTATAAAAAATTAATAAATATTAATAAATATTACGTAAATAATTAAATACACGTATAAATTACTAAATTTAAATGTTATATTTTACTTTCTTTATTTATTTATTTATTTTATTTATTTTTATTCTTTCTTTCTTTTCTTTCTTTTCTTTCTTTTCTTTCTTTTCTTTCTTTTCTTTCTTCTTTCTTTTCTTTCTTTTTCTTTCTTTTTTCTTTCTTTTCTTTCTTTTCTTTCTTTTCTTTCTTTTCTTTCTTTTCTTTCTTTTCTTTCTTTCTTTCTTTTCTTTCTTTTTCTTTTCCTTTTCTTTCTTTTCTCCCGTCTTTTTCCTCCCGTGTTCTTTCCTCTTTTTCCCCCCGTTTTTTTCTCCTTCCTTTTCTGCCCTTCTCCCTTCTTCTTTCCTCCCTCTCCTGGTTATACGCTTCCCCCTCTTATTTAAAGGCTTATATGTAATAAACAATATAGTTTTAATCGGTTTTATTTGGATTTACCCCCTTCACCCTTGGGGTCAGTCCAATAATTTTAGCGTTTTTTTAATGTGTTCCCTCTGCACCTCCGTACCCCGCCCCAATGCGGTACGCTATTCTCTATCAGCAAATGTGAGTTGCCTTATTCGCGGCTAGGGTTCCATCAACCTCGACCCAATCGTCAGGGACTTGGACGAAACAACCACTAAGATCGATAACTTGGTCGTACTGGTTCTGCAATACACATCAGGGCCGTTACCACACTCGCCACCACCTTCGCCTTCTCCGTTGTCAAGAACTCCAAAGAATATCTCCAAATTCAACACTAATGCATACTATCAAGTATGCAGTACATTAGTGCCTAGGTATATCCGGTGAACCTCCAATTCGGCCCATATCCCTTGCTTCTACTCTCGCCTACATAATCTCTCGATGCTCTTACTAAGAGAGCAAACATATGTTGGAACATGTCGATGGCGCTGACTACTGGAGCTATTATAGTATGCATATTTGTCGGGAATTAGCTCGTGAAACGGCGCCTAATAGCAATGGTGTATCAAATTAACTTGATTGTCATTGCGCGTACAAGAGAGTATAATTGGATTTCAAACTCCTTAAGCTCAACTTTATCTTGACTTTCTGTCAGACCAGCTTATATTCGCAGATCATCCATCATCAGCTTCAGCTTCAGCTTCAAAGCAGCTCGGTATACATGATAGATCTTGCGCGTACGTATACCAAAGGCAAGGACATCTGAGTTTTGACAGACATGCATATATTTATGTATGCCAAGGACAACTTGCGGCTGCAATGCAGAGGTCCGTCCGGATTTGGCCCGTCCAAGGAGCTTATTTATATACCTCTTATAATATGAGGCAACGAGATAGCCTGTCAATGCTGCAGCTTTTCGGATCGTATACGTATTCGAAGCAGGCTAGAGGTAGAGGAGGTGAGGCACTCAATTATATAGTAGGTCAAATCTAAAAGATAGGAAAAAAGCACGAGTGAAGGATGATGTTTTAAAATTATTATCTAAACTGTATTTCCAGTCTAGCCCTGACTAACTTACCTCATTACATACTTCGAAACTCACGATGAATAATATAAATTGAAGGTCGACGGGTCGCTAAGAATGGATCTAATGAGATCTTGGAAACCTAAGCAGAGCTAGAGATTCGAAGCGTGGCTCGGGTTTGCGGGGGCAGCCACAGCGGGGTGAAGCACCTAACTGAGGAAGTAGTTGGATGCCTACAGCAGGTACCTACAGCTTACAGAGGGTACCTATAGAAGGTACATGTAGGTACCTATACCTATCCCAGCCGGGGTCTAAGCTGTCCTTGCATCATTTCATTCCGTTCCATTCCATTTCATTAATCTATCTTCAGCATCCAAGTTAACCACGTCACCGCCGCATACAAAGCTCATGCATGTGCATGTGGCCATTTGGTACCCTACTCACCAAGCTCATCCAGTAGAGTCTTCGAGGTACCTTGAACCTTAGGGCTTCTCACCTCACTTCGACATTCGACCTTCGATTTCAATATTCTACGCAGATTCTTGTCTGTCGTCAGCTCCAGTCAGCTCTGGCTATTTCCGAGAGTGTTTAAGGTCTTATTTGATTCCGGCTCCCAGCCCCCGTTTACCATGATGTTTACTTTTTCTGCCTGCGAGTAGCCGTCTCTCCTAGCTGAGCAACTAACCGACTAAGCGGTCAGCCGAAAATAGAACCATAGGCACCTACATTATTCAAAGCATGCCTTCGTTAATACAATTGTTTCCCGCTAGTCATTTGTACGCGATAGTTTTTCTCAATTTGCAGGTGTGAGGGAGATAGAAGCTTGAGATTTCAAGTCTTGAAAAGTAGACCGGGTAGATAAAATCTAATACGAATCGATAATGCCTTCAACCACCGTCAACAACTACTACGGAGAGGTTCCGAAAGTACATAACCTTGGATCGAAATGCCGGTTTGCCCCGACATCTCATCCCCCTTGCTCTTCCGATATCGACGAAATTCCGCCGGTAAACGCCCATTACTTTTACGCGTCTTCCGTTCCCATCGATGAACCTCTTTCTACCGCTCCTATTGCTGTTGCTGCCGATCCTAAATATATTAGGAGTAGCCTACGTCCATTCTCACCAGGGGACAACAACGCGATAGAGAAAGCTTGGTTGAGTCTCGCTTCGGATGCCTACCGTCAGAATCACTCCAATGCCCGGCAGAACCGACCTCCTAGCCCTTCACTTGCTAAGGCAAATAGCGAGAAGCTACGTGATATCGTACGCCAACTAGCTGTGGAACATGCTGAAAAGCATGCACGCGAAGGCCCCTCGCGGGAAAAGGTCCAGCCTTTCACTGAATCTTTGCCGGAGCCAGAAACTGCCGCGCTCTTATGCTGCAAAGAGCTTCTTGTTGATGTTGGTGTAGCCTTACGGACATCTTTCTGTGCTGTTGCAAGGCGAAAGCAACATGAGCTTAATAGAGATATGGTTGCTCAAGCTGTTATGAGTGAGATGAATACATTGCATACCGACTCGACGGCTTCCGTCACAGAACGCCATGCGCCGCCTGATAACATGTCTTCAAACCAGTCGCCAATCGACTCTGTGATGCGATCAAATCAACTTAATGAACAGCCCAATAGTCAGCCTTCAAGTATAACGTCACAGTCCCCAACGACAGCTCAGTATCCTTCAATTGACAAAAGCGCCAATGTGCCAGTCCCTGCGAAATCTTCGTTAGTGGACGACGGTATCTCAGGTAGACCATTTGTCCGCGTAGGTACGCCGGAAACTCCGATTAATTCTCCACCGGCGTCATTTCCGAGGGCGAATACTTTTCAGCCCAGCAGACTTGGTGAGGAGATGAGGATTGAAGAAGCCAGGCCGCCTCGTCCTGCGCCAGTAGAGAACTCATCCTCCCCTCCTAAGCCTGTGAAAACTCCAAAGGTGATTTCGCGCGAAGTGACGGTTGGTGTATCCAGGTTACATGAAGTATCTCTCCCCGCGTTACAGATGAAGCCCATATACTGGTCTCCTGTAAATGATATTGCTACCGTTCTTCGAGCTACTTGGTTCTATAGGTATTAAATCAATATTCCCACTGGTAGAAAGCATTCACTAATTTAAAATAGAGATGATATGAGGCCAATTGATCCCACTGTAGCTAATCAGCTAGAAGCTGGATATCGAGAGCTCAGGCCCCATACTGAGACGTGGAACGATGAGCTTAGATGTGCCGTAGAAGTTGGCCCTCTAGGTGAGGAAAAAGTCTCGCATCCCTTATGGCCAAAGGCGCTAGGCAAGTCTTCTAAAAAGGTCGACGATTTGATGGAGCCACCCATATCTAGCAATCCATTTTGTGCAGCCCGTTGTTTCCATGGAGAAGCAGCAGCTGAAGGTAGTCTGATACCCTCTCCAAACGAAGACAATTCTTCTCCTGTTCCAACCAACAAAAAGTTCGAACAGTATCATGTAATATACAAAGATCAGACCACGGCGTATTTACTAAAGCCAAGCCTGAAGCCTTCAGCTTATTACGGCCGCCGCCCAGTAGCAAAGATAATGAGAGGCATTACCGTTGGCATTCCGGTGGTGAGAGGCTTTAACTATGAGACGTGGATGAGAAAGCACAGGAAACAAGAGCAACAATATCAACAAGCCCTATCAGGTTTCAATAGTTCACAAGAGAATGACAGGAATGATGCCTGCCCAGCCTGTAAGGCCGACGAAGAGCGCGCGCAGGTCACAGATCTGGTTCTAGTCGTCCACGGCATTGGCCAGAAGTTGGCAGAGCGAGTAGAGAACTATCACTTTACCCACGCCATAACTGCATTTCGTCGAGCTATTAATACCGAACTTCACAGTGACGCGGTAAAAGGGGCATTGAGACGAGGTCAAAACTCTATCATGGTTCTTCCAGTGAATTGGAGGCAGAACCTATCGTTCGAAGATGGCGGGCCAATGAAGGAGGAAGATAAAGAGCAGTATACACCTGGCAACTTCACTTTAAAGGATATCGAGCCCAAGACGATTCCTGCCGTCCGGAGCATGATATCAGATGTCATGTTCGATATTCCATTTTATGTCGCATCATAAACCCAAGATGGTAGCAGCTATGGTTAGCGAAGCGAATCGCGTTTACAGGCTCTGGTGTCGAAATAACCCCGGCTTTGCGGAGAAAGGACGGGTTCATCTGATCGGCCATTCACTCGGCAGCGTCATGTGCATTGAAGTGTTGTCGAGACAGCCGACTACTCCACCAGTCCTACAGCTCACGGCTCCACTCCAGTTAAATCATTTCGAATTTGATACTACGAATTTATTTCTTCTTGGTAGTCCTGTCGCCTTCTTCTTGTTACTAGAAAGGGGTGCGTTGCTACCAAGGAGAGGACGTCGGAAACCAGGGGCAGACTCCGACGATATTATGTCGAAAGACGTCGTTGGGGATGCCGGATTGTTCGGATGTATCGCTGTGGATAACATCTATAACATTATGGCTAGGGAAGATGCTGTTGCGTATCTACTCAACGGCACCTTAGATCCGATGTACGCGGCCAGTTTGAAAACAGCATACGTGCCGAGTACATCGACGTCTTTCCTACAGTCTGTAGGGCATGCGATGATGAGTATCGTCCCTGGAGCTGGATCTTCCACGCCAACTAATGGTGTAAATGCGCCGATCCCAAGGCCACCGACGATGCGTCTCCCCTCGCAGCTCGAACTCGAAGTCCACGATTTCTCACGCGAGGAAATTGCCGAGAAGAAGGCTTTCCTCCTTAACGACAACGGTCAGATCGATTATTTTCTGCGGTCAGGTGGCGGCCCGCTAGAACTACAGTATCTGAACATGCTAAGCGCGCACACGAGTTACTGGGTAAACCACGATCTTATCCGCATGTTATGCATGGAGATCGGACGGAACCCCGGAAAGACGAATACGCTACCCGCGATGAGGGCAGTTAAGGCTACGAAACGAGTTATTCCTTCGGCTGTCTGAACAAAATATTCGTGTTTTTTTACGATTTGCATTTGTATTTATGGCCTGGTGTTACGGTATGTTTATGGGATTAGACTCTGGATGATGATATAGAGACAGACAGACGTCGGATACCCTACCAATTTGCACGAAAGTCGTAGTTGTAATACATAGTGTAGCAATGAATGCTTTATAGTATAGCAAGCAATGTATCTTACATCCTACCTTATTATTTTTCTTGCAGACCTGTGCTGCTCACTGTCGCTGATAATTATCTGTATTCCTACCCCCTGAGAACTACAGGTGCGATATGTAATAGCCTCGAGGTAATTAGAGCTTATCTCGAGAGAAAGCAACGTGCGTGCTATGGTGATAGTACGTATATATCTATAACGTATTTTCCGCTATCCTTATACGAGGAGGGGATCGATACGAAGCAGCCTCTCGAATCTTGGAATGGAACTTGGATATCCACTTCCGTTTCGCTCATTGCTGTAGATAATTTCATCGAAGTAATCCAAGTCCCGAATACATCGATGCGAATCTGAAGCCCATAACATGCCCCTGGCTATCTCAACCACGCCAGCAATAGAATTCTGCTGCAAGGTATAAACGGACCGCTATCGCGGACCAGACTGTCGTAAAGTCAATCGAGTAAGGGGCTCGGCTTACAAATAGTCTTCGAAGTTCTCAATAGTCGGCGTTAATAGAAAGTAAGTCATTCCGCACTGACACCATATGTAATGTAATACATGTGTAATAGATTACTTCAGCAGCGAAACAACAACGCGTCTACCTATGTCTGTACACTCCTGAGCGGGACTATCCTATCTGGACCGCTTACGCAATATTCGACCGGCCAAATTTCTTTTGCCTCGTGTAGATCATTACAAAGATACTTGCTACTTCTGGCGGAAAGGTCGGAGGCAGTGTATTAGGAGACGTGGGGGTGAAGTATTAGAGTGTCTATAGGTTAAGTCGTCGGTTGTGAGATATCACAACGCACCACTAACTAGGTACCTACCTAGACATCTATAGACCGGTTGTACAATGGTGGAGGTAGTATGGGTGTTGATATGCTTGTGTTATTGCCCCTTTTATTGTTGTGCTCTGTGTATATACCACCCCTATTTCCACCGGCGGTGTTGGCATAGCCGCCTTGTGCTCAGGGGTTCGTCTATCGCTTCGCGTACGACATTGGAGTTCTACTTTGTTTATACTAGTCATATATGCTGTGTATCTAACTCTATGCCTTGTCTTGAAGGTATTGCAGTCTGGTTGTGGCGATCTACCTCTCTGCTAGTTCATGCCGGGCCCTGTTTTGGATTGAGGGAATATTCAGGTTACCAGAATCAATATCGAGGTACAGCACGTACCGAACGTTCTTGCTGGGATTCGTTCCAAGCTTGATGATCATGCTTCTCTATCAGGAAGTGAAGTGACTACTCGTGAACCTTGGTGACTAACTTTGAGACACTCAACAAGTCACCCGACAGAATCCCTTGGTATCTCTGGAGATATTAGTTCGAAGGAATATGGCAATCGAACGTATCGCTAGGCCGGGTCTATCGGGATGAAAGGCTATCGATGAAGGCTTAGACGTTTCCTGAGACGGCACACTATTTTGCTTGATCTTAGACAGTGACACCGGAGAACGCAAGTTATTACCTTGCGCGGTGCCTTGGATCGAGATTATGTAGATAGCTGTTAGAGTACTTGCTCTTGATCTCCTAAACATACGTTATTCACCGAGTAATACGAACGAATGTAATGTTCGGCCCTATCTAAGTCCTACATATAATCGAGTCTGTACTACATCTGTGTATAGGTGCCACTACATACGTAGGTATTTAGGACACATTCATCGACACCAACGAATCTTCCGGCCCCCTCGCCATCTAATAATCAGTGATTAGATGAAATAGGGCTGACCGTGCCACAGAGCCACGATATTACCGAGCCGGTTACGAACCAACACATGTTGGCAAGTAATTACCGGATGTCTGGATCCGTCACACAAAGGCAGACTCGAGAGAGTATCCCGGAGGATGAGACAGCAAATATGTAACGTATGCCAACGGGGTGAGTATTCATGCGTCGAGCCGGTGTATTACGTAGAAAGGCATCTGCTTCCCGTGCTGCCGCGTTACTGTTCCAATAACATCGTACGCATACCTACCTACATAGGCATGTATTCCTATTCGCGTAGCTAACCGCATAACCCAGAAGGAGATCTACATCTACAGTGTCTCGACTGCTGTGTCAGGAGACACCAACGCCGCCTTCGGGAGAGGTGGTTACTTGAAGGGGGCTTCGCCACGCTCAGCCTTAAGGAATCAAATCCTTCAGACTTCTACATACATACCTACATGCTATACACTATCTTAACGCTCGCCAACCTCAATTAACTTGAAGATCTCGAGATTAACCTACGGAGACTGGCTAATTAACATTTTAATGCGATAGTGTATAGGTACCTACCTAGGTGCGTGGATTTGTCAATACATCCCATCTCATCCCACACACCATCCGAGTTCGATCCACGAGGAGATGGAATCCGGCTCACCCCTTCGGGCTTCCACTAGAATGAATGGTTATCGTAACTCCGTCGCGAGGGGCCGTAATCATCCCATGGGGCTAGAACTTACCTTCCCTCCTCTCCCCTCATCTTCCTTTCCGCTCTTTTGCCCTAGCCCTAGGCATATCGGCATACGTACCTCCTACAGGCATAGCATGATTCGCCATCCTCGCTTGCCCAGGGGCCTCGAAAAATAGCCGTCCTTAACCTTCGGAAACCACAGTTGATAAGAGGGCGCGTATGTAGGAACGCCACTGTGGATATCCGTGGCCTGGGATCCGTATCGACTAATAGAATTGCCGAAGAGCGCCTTTCTTGGTTCGCACCCATCCGTACAATCTCTGGGTGCGCATTGTCCTCTTCCCTTAGATGTTGGAGCCAAGGCCTGCGATCCGAGAATGGTGCATATAGCATCATTTCCATCAGGGGCGGTGAAATAGTGTAGGGAGAGTGGATAAGCCTACTACTGCTTCTTTCGCAGCCGAGGTTTGGCGCGATTAAATTGGTTTTCCCTACGATCATCCTCATCTTTCC